CATGCCATGAGGCACAGCCAAAAAAAGAAAAAGTATACAATTTAGTGTTTTGGTTTCTTTGTTTATTTGGTTGACTGGGTCTTAGTTGTAGCACATGGATCTTTGATCTTCATTGTGGCATTCAAGATCTTTAGTTGAGTTGGGGGGATCTTTTTTTTTTTTAAGTTGCGGCATGTGGAATCTAGTTCCCTGAGCAGGGATTGAACCTGAGCCCTGGAGTCTTAGCCACTGGAGCACCAGGGAAGTCCCTAGTCCAGAGTTTTATGGCACATAGAGGGCTGTGCAACCATCACCACAATCTACTCTAGATGATTTTTGTCACTCCTAAAAGAAACTGCATAAGCATTAGAAGTCAGTCCCTGTCTGTCTCCCCACTCCTCAGCTCTAGCAACCACTACAGTATAGATTGATATGTTCTGGACATTTCATATAAATGGAATCATACAATATATAATCTTTTGTGACTGGTTTCTTTCACTTAGATAATATTTTCATGTCTCATTTTTGTTCAGTGTATTCCATTATATAGTTATATTCTAGTGTATTTAACTATCATTTTGATAGACATTTAGGTTGTAATTGCTTGTATGTATAGTATTCTAGTCACATACAAGTTCAGCTGTAATATAAATTGCTAAAAATAGAATCATGGGATCAAAACAATATATACTTCTCTTATTTTGATAGATATGGCCAAGTAGCTCTTTATAGAGACCTCTAACTAATTTTCATTCCCCCCTCTCCAGCAACTTATGAAATGATTATTTCTCCATTAAAATTTTCAAACACAGTATGTATACTAAAATTTTATCATCATTGCCAAATGGCAAATAAATAGTACCTTGTAGTTTTAATTTGTATTTTTATTACAAATGAGAATAAGGCTCATTTCATTGTTTTAAGAACCATTTGAATTTCTCTTGTACTGTCATGTTTCTTCATAGTATTTATTTTGGGTAGTTAGTTCTTACTGATTTGCAGTTATTTTTTATATATAAAAGAAATTAGTTCTTTGATACATCTTGCATATATTTTTGCTAGTTTGTCTTTTGTCCTTTAACTTCATTTGTTACATTTGTTGCCGTGCAGACATATTTATTTTTGTGTAATTGAACATATTAGTCTCTTTTATGGCTCCTGAGCTATAGCTCCTGAGCTTTCATTTCTTTAAAAGGATACTATTTACTCTTGAGAATATTGTTTTTCCAATTTTTAAAAATTGAGATAACTTAGATTTGTATAACATTATAAAAGATAATACAGAGCACCCTTTGCACCATCAGTTTTCTCTACCATAACATTTTGCAAAACTGTTGAGTAATATGACATTCAGGATATCAACATTGATACAACCAAGCAATCTTATTCAGATTTCCCCAGTTTTACCTGCACTTGTTTGCTTATATGTATATATGTACTAAGTGCTACACAATTTCATCACTTTTTATAGATTAATTTATCCCTCATCACTATCAAGATACTGAACAGTTCCATCACAAGGGCTCTTCGCTGCCCCTTTATAGGCACATTTCCCTCCCGCCCACCCAGTCCCTGACAACCTCACTAATCTGTCCTCTGTTTGTAAAATTTTGTTATTTCAAAGATGTTATATAAATGGAATTATACAGTGTGTACTCTTTGAATTGGCTTTTGCTCAGCATAATTCTCTGGAAGTTCATCCAAGTTGTGCATATCTGTAGTTCATTACTTTTTCTCGCTGAGTAGTATTCTGTGGTGTGGATATACCACAGTTTGTTTAATGATTCCCCTATTAAAGGACATCTGAATTGACTGCAGTTTTTTATTATTGCATGTAAGTTTACTATGAACATTCATGTACAGGTTTTGGTGTAAACATAAGTTTTCATTTCTCTAGGATAAATGCCTAGGATTGCAGTTGCTGGGTCATACAGTAGTTGTGTGGCTTTTTGTTTTTGTTTCTCAGATTCACTTTATTGAGGTATAATTTTTATTCAATAAAATGTATATGTTGTAAGCATATAGTTCTGTGGGTTTTGATAAGTATAGCAGCTGTGTAAGCATTCCCCCCCACTTCAGATATAGAACGTTTGCATCACCTCGACAACTTCCACCCTGCCCTGCTGCAGTCTCTGCCTCATCTATCATTAGAGACTTGTGTTTACATAATTAGATATTAAAACTTCACATAAATGGGATCATAGTATGTATTATTTTGAGACTGGCTTTTTTTTCCACCAAAATATTTTGATTCATTCCTGTTATTTTCTGTATTAGTGATTTTTTTCTTTTTCCATTTTTTAATAAACTCTTAGAGCAGTTTTATTTATTTATCTAGGAGGTCCTAACCGGATAGCAATTTTAGATTTATAGAAAAATTGAGAAGATAGTACAGACCTCCCATATACCCTGCACCCAGTCACTATAATAATGCACTTCATTATTAACATCTTACATTAGTATAGTATATTCATTACAACTGATCAACCAATTTTGATACATCATTATTAGCTGAAGTCCATGGTTTATTCAGTTCTTAGTTTTTACATTTAATCTTCATGTCTTTTTAGGCTCCTCTGTGACAGTATACATTTAGAGTTTTAAGAAATTGTTTTACAAAATGGCTATACCATTTATATTCCCACTAGCAATATGTGAGTGATCCAGTTTCTCTGCATCCTCATTAGCACTTGGTGTCACTATTTTTTATTTTATTTATTCTGATAATTTGTAGTTATATCTCATTATAGTTTTAATTTGCTTTTCTTTAATGACTAATGTTGATTGGATGACTTTCAACTTGCTTATTTGCTCTCTGCTTATCCTCTCCTCCTTGGTGAAATGTCTGGTGTGACTTTTGTCCATTTTCGAATTGAATTACTTTTTTTTTAAACTATTGAGTTTTGAGAGTTTATTTAATGCATTCTAGATACTAGTCTTTTGTTGGATCTATAGTTTGTAAATATTTTCTCCTAGTCTGTAGTTTGTCTTTTCATCTTTTCTACATGGGCTTTCACTGAGGAAACTTTTAGTATTTGATGAGGGCCAATTTACCACTTTTCCCTTTTATTGATCATGCTTTTGGTGAGAATGCTTTGCCTAGCTAGAGCCCCACAATTTTCTTTTTTTTTTTAATTTTGTATTTATACATTTTACATATATGTGATCCAACTTTGAGTTAATTTTTGTATAAAGTGTAAAGTTTAGGTTTCAGAATATTCTTTAAAGATATTCTGTATTTTATCTGTGATTTGATATTTAAAATTTAAATATGTCATCCATCTGGAATGGAAGAACGTATGAAAGGGAAAATGTATAACACCCCCCAGTGCAAATTGATCAACTATTTAAATTTTAAATAAGAAGCTAGATGTTTTCCGGATATATTCAGTCATAAACCACCATTTATTCAATAATCTGGCTTTTCTCTATTGATACATGCTATGAACATTAGTATATAGTTTGTGTGAGAACATAAGTTTTCAGTTTTCTGAGATAAATGCCTAGGAGTATAATCTTTCCCTGTTTGGGCGGGGGAGGGGCGGGGGGAGGTTGGTTTATTGTCCCTAATTGTGGCATAATTTAAAATGCACAAATCTTAAATATTCAGTGTGATGAGCTTGACAGGTATATAAGCCCATATAATCATCACCCACCCAGCTATGTTCTGGTGCTTTAAATTCAACCAAATAAAGGAACGGTCTAGGAAACTTAGAGTAGTGCCAGTCTGGAAATGGGTGTCTGGTTATCATCTGCTTTGTTTGTTTTGTTTTAATGGAAGAAGTAGCTCACTGACCCAGAATTTTTGAAAAGTTAGAAGTATCTTTTGTTTCTCAACAGAATCAGTGGGAATGGTAAATTTCAGTCCTGTTTTAGAAACTTTGATTTTTCTTACGTTATACAGATTCCACTTATTTCATTAAGGCAGTTTATTTTATTAGTAGCCATCAGAGCTATTCCTTAAGATTAATTCCTGTATGATTATTCATATTAGGTACTATGTAGATAGCTATTTTTTTTTAATCTACAGGTTCTTTTTTTTTTTTTTTTTAATATTTATTTGGCTGCGACAGTTCTTAGTTGTGGCATGTACAATCTCATTTCCCAGCAGGGTTCAAACCCATGCCCCTTGCATTGGAGCATGGAATCTTAGCCACTGGGCCACCAGGGAAGTCCCTATCTCCAAGTTCTTAATAGGGAAATTCCCATTATTCAGAAATACAAAAAAGTTCTTCCACTTACTTTGAGCAATACTCAGTGCTATTTGAGAAGTAAATCTGTTGAATGTTGTGGGAATGTTATTTGAGGACAGAGTATGTTCATACTGATAATCTTCAATAAAGCTTTATCATAGAACTTGCTCTGGGAAAATAGTTTGTTTTTTATAACATTAGAACAGTTATTACCGTTTAACGACCTTTTCTTTTCCTGATTCTTTGGTAACATTTGTGAGTAAGGGAGAAGGAAGCATGGACCATGTGTTTTTTTAAAAAAGTAATCAGCCAAATCTTGGCCAACAAAGTTTCTCTTGACCATTTAACTAGTTGCTTTTATTAAGAGTAAATCAGCAGAAGATGATTTCTCCCATTAGAGATTTAGACAATTTGTTGGAGAGGAACTCAGCAATAGGAGCAAGAGTAGAATAGATGAAGATACTCATTTAGGTTGCTAAGCTTTATCAAGTTCTGAAAACATTGCCATGATTCTTGCAGGTTCAAATTCTGTACTTTTGGACAATAAAGTGTTTCATATGCTGCTAGTTTATCCCTAACAGTAGAGGATTCATTTTCTTGGAAGAGAGTCTTAGTGTTACTATTGTTGTCATTAATTAGTTTTAAAAGTTATGTATGAAAGAGATGAAGATGTTTTTCTTGGTGCACAGTAGGAATAAGGAAATGTTTCTCTGCATGCAGTTTGCCTGCATCCTGGTCTTTGAAGACATGCAGGCCATGCAGCTGAAATGGTTCTGTGACAAGGGTGGTGCTTGACGCCAGTTATTCATTTACAGGTAGCTTTTGAACATGGCTGCCTCTCATTTCACCGGGCTCACAGCTGTTGCTGATGTAATTAAAGATCTAGACACTCAGATAGCTGTAAGTAAGCTCCTTGAGGTCACTGTGGGCAGAACTTCTTGAATGTGCTTCTGATCTTGATGACACCAAAGCTGAGGTCCACCGAGTCAATTTCATGGCTCTAAAACTTAGAAGTCTTGGCTATTCCAAGCTAGGGACTCTGCATGTATTTAAAGATTGCTAACACTCAGAGAAAATTTGCCCTTGATGACAGAGAAGAGCTTACTTTTAACAGTTGCTAAATTTATTGTGTTTATCAGGCCCTGCCATAGATTTAAGCATGTTTGAAATGCTGAAGTGAACTAATCTGTTTTTTGAAGTTTTGTGACTAGGTTTCAAGTATGTGATTGTGCCATGATTTGTTTGAATTTAGCGTTATTTGATGTTCAAAAATAATGCATGTACTACTTAACCAAGTATTCTGTTTTTACAGAGTCTTCAAAAATGTCTTGCTCATTCTAGTTTATTTATGTACATAAGATTCCTCATTTCTTTTAATTTCCTATTTCACTTGTGTGGACTATTTAGCTTTTCGGAAAGAGATGGTTTCTAAATATCAGGTGAGAGCAGTGAACATTCTTCATTCCATTTTGAATGTGCAAGTGTCAAATGAAGACCCTTCAAAGTCCAACAGACCTCATAGAATTTTACTTTTAAAACTGATCCTTTATTACATGTCTTTCCTGAATTAATTCTTTTGTTTTTCTTCTACAGTTGATTGGCCTTGGTCCTCATAGCTCCAAAAAGAAACAAGATCTCGATAAGCTCTATGAGCTGAAGTCCAAAGCAAGACAGATTATGAATCAGTTTGGTCCCTCAGCCCTAATCAACCTGTCCAATTTCTCATCAATAAAACCGGAACCAGCTAGCACCCCTCCACAAGGCTCCATGGCCAATAGCACTGCAGTGGTAAAGATCCCCGGCACTCCTGGGACAGGAGGGCGTCTCAGCCCTGAAAACAATCAGGTATCATCCTCTTTTTGTTCTCTGTGAGCACTTCTTATCTTTTTTTTAAAATCTTTTTTTTAAATCAGTGATACTTTGAGAGATGTCCATATCAGGTGCTGCCTCTTCCTCTCTTCTCAAGTTCTTTATCGATATATCATGTACATTTATCAATTTTTACTTTGTAGAATATATGTGTGTATACATATATATGTGTATATGTGTATATATATACATACATGCATTAATACAATACCTTGCCTATGACAGGTTTTTATATATTTATATATAAATATATGCTATATAATTGTTAAGCAAAATAAAATAGGTAAATAATTAATGGATTCATTATTCATTATTCCTATAATAAAAGTACTCTTGTGTCCAGTCTTTTTTCCTTCTAGTTCATCTAGCTGCTACCATTATTCATTTTCTGCAATGATTCTATAATCTGACCTCCTCTTTTTACCCATGATCCTGATTCTGTCCTCCAGAGCCATAAAAAATAAGTATAATATCTGATTTGGGCCTTGTAGGCTGAGTAGAACAGGATGAGGAGACAATAGTTCAAGAGAATGGGGGAAGGACTAGCACCGGTGAATGGGAAGGGTTAGGCAGATAGTCAGGAGATTGATTACCATGCTGAGTGTGGAGTTGGAGAAGAGCAGGAATTAAAGTTGTGTAGGTGGGATTATGGCAGAACATAGTGGGCCTATGTTAGTTTACACTGGAACTTTTAGTCAAAAACAATCTTTGCAAATATTCAATGAAGCATTAAAATAACATAATAAAGTATCTTAGGATTAACTGGACAGTAAGGGGACAAGAAAGGTAAGAAACGGGGCAGACTGAGAGGAAGACCAAGTCTGAGACTCTTGCAGTAAGTCACCATATGTGGTAAAGACTTGAGTTAAGCAATAATGGTAGAATGGATAGATCTGAAACATTAACAAATATTTATTTTTAAAATTATATTCTTTTTTTCTATTTCCAATGTTAGACAGGCTTTTCATGAAATTTTAGAAAAAGAGAGAGCGTAAATAGTCCGTAATTCTACTACCACCCCAAAGTAACTGTGGTTAACATTTTAGTGTGTGCCTTTTGATTCTTCTTTAGTGGCATATACATGTGATATAATTTTCCCTTTATGAAAGAGGAGATCATAGTTGTACATACTTATACACATATTCAGTTAAACAGAGAGGAACACATGTTCCCAGCTATCGAGGAGCTTTTAGGCTATTAAGTCAGAAAACAAGGAAAGAAACCCAATGATGGAAGGGTACACAGGGCACAACAGAGGCCAAAGGAGGAGGTGGTTGCTTTTACCTGGGTAGCCGAGGAAAGCACAGAAAGGAGGCTCTGTGAGCTGAGCAGGTGGGAGGAAGGGTAGAAGAGCTTGTCCACAGGCAGCAGAGGAGTTATACGACTTGTGGTCAGAAAATTGCAAATTAATACAGAGTTTCCTAAAACTGTTTGACAGATGTTGGCCTCTCCTCCATGCTGCTCTTTCTGCCTTTTCCTAGGTTATTCTTCTCTCTAGAATATAGTCTTCTAGTAATAGCTCCAGGTAGGCCAGACTGATAATTCTTTGGAAAGTAGAAATCAAACCCAGTAAATTGGCTGAAAACTGTTCTCCCAATTAACTTTAGGTATTGACCAAGAAGAAATTACAGGACTTAGTAAGAGAAGTGGATCCTAATGAGCAATTGGATGAAGATGTGGAGGAGGTAAGGTGGGACTGGGTACTCCAGAGACTGTGTCCCTGCAAAGTATAGAATAGCCATCAATAGCACAGACTTTAGATGCAGGTATGTCTGAATTTGAGACTTGGTGCTGTGGGTGTGTTAGTGAAGCTTTCTGAAACTCAGCTTCCTTCTGTGTTAGTAAGGTATGACATTATTTATCTACAGGGTTATTCAGGGTTTTTGTGAGGGTCTGGTAGAATAACTTAAACAAATCACCTCAGAAAATGCTTAGTACTTATTCGTAACAACACCGCTATTTTTGCCTGTCAAAAAGGGTGTAGTCTACTGCTCATAGGCAGTCACTTTCAACAATTTAAATTGTTTCCTCTGTATTTCTTTTCTTTTCTAATTAATTTTTTTTTTTTTGGCCATACTGTTGGTGCCGTGGGATTTTAGTTCCCTGACCAGGGATTGAATCCATGCCCCCTGCACTGGAAGTGCCGAGCCTTAACACTGGACTATCAGGGAAGTCCCCATTCCACCGAATTTCTGAGTAATAAATAGATATTCTTTGATTCACTAATTTTATAATAGTTGTAAACTTACTGTTATGGTAGATGAGAATTTGTTAAACCATTCACATACATGCCATACATGCTTTTCTTTCTCTCATTTTTCCAGTATCATTTTGTCACAATTTTTGCATAGCTCAGAAATCAATATTTACATTATTCTGGCTATTTAATTATTTACTCTTCATCAGTGAGCCAAGTCATGCCTATGATTACCTTTCCTTTTTGGTATGACTTATCTTCTTGAAGTAGATAATTGACCCTTTTTAGTTACTTAGTTTTCTTTGTACCTTTTTTATTCAGCTTCCACTATTAGCTATCTTACACCCTATCAACATTATTTTCCAAATGGAAAAATACTTGATTTGGGTTTTCCCCCTCCTGGAGATCATACTCTCAGAAACCTCCATCCTCTTCTAGTTTGATTTATTTTAATCCACTTAGACAGACCCCCTCCCTTTCCTTTTGCTCTTTTTCTGTTTGGATGTTTTGTCTCCTAAATCCCACGTCCCCATACTTCACTCCCTCATTTTGTTAGACTAGATTTTTTTTGTTACTTCCTACGAAAGGCTAGATGATAGGTAAAATGTTTGAAAATATCTGCAGTCTAACCTCACACTTAATTTTTAGTTTGGCTGAGTTTAGAATTCTATTTGGAAATCATTTTTTTTCCCTGTTAGTAATGAAGGCATTGCTTCATTGTCTTCTGAAATCTAAGAAACCTTAGGCTATTCTGGTCCCAGCTCTTTTAGGGTCTAAGTTTTTTCCTGTTCTGAATTTTCATATGAGCCTTATATGTATCTTTTTTCTTTTGTTGTGCTAAGTTTTTAGAGGCTTCTTTTAGACACTTGCGTGCCTCGATTCAAAGATGATATTGGTTTTTTTTTTTTCCTTTTCTGAGGAATATGTAATGATAGAGAAAGAAATGCAGGTTGCAAAAACAGTATAATTCCCCTGTTAGGTTTTTTTTTTTTAATCTGAAGGGAAAATATTTGTTCTCACTATGTGAGTTTGGTTTTTTAGATAGCAGCTTTATTGAAGTAAAATTAATGTAACACACAATTCATGCCTTTGAAATATAAACAGTTCATTAGTTTTTAGTATATTCACAGAATTGTACAGCTATCAACATAATCTTAGAACATTTCCATCACCCCTAAAAGGATCGCATACCCCTTAGCAGTCACTTCATTTTCCCCCAACCTCCATAACCCTTGGCATCCACTAACCTACTTTCTGTCTCTGTAGATTTGTTTATTTTGGACATTTCAAGTAATTGGATTCATATAATAATTGGTCTTATATGACTAGTATCTTTCACTTAACATAATGTTTTTTAAATTCATCCTGTTGTAGCAGGTGTCAATACTTCCATTTCTTTTTATGACTGAATAATAATAATAGTCCATTGTATGGGTATGCCACATTTTGTTTTTTCATTTATCAGTTGATGGACATTTGGATTATTTCCACTTTTTGGCTATTATCACTAATATTGCCATGAACATTCATGTACAGGTTTTTTGTTTTTTTTCTTTCCTTTCTTACTTTTTTTGAAATCATGTACAATTATTTCTCTGGGCATACATTTTCATTTCTTTTGGATATATACCTAAGACTGGAATTGATGAGTCATATGGCAACTGTGTTTTTCCTTTGAGGAATTTCCTGTTTTTATAAAGTGTTCCATCCTTTGACATTTCCACCAGCTGTTATGAGGGTTCCATTTTTTTAATCTTAGTTTTTTGATAATTTCTTTTCTATTATTGTTCTTTCTTTCTGGAATGACAGTTGTCCATGTAACTTAGTAGTTCCATGGCTATGAACAAGTTAGTTTCCATGAATCTTAGCATCTTCCTCTATAAAATTAGGATAAAATCCATGCCCCATTTTTTTTCCCCACAGGATTATTATAACAGTAACAGTTGGATGTTGGATCTTCTGCATTGATCCTCTTAGTTTTTTGGTCTTTTAATCTTTTCTATTGTTCATTTCTTTGCAATTCTAAGTTTTGCTTGCTGGAGAGATTTTCCTCAGTTTATCTCCTAAATTTTAACTTTTTTTTAATAAAAATTTTAATTTCCATGAACTTTTTCTTGTTGACTGTTTTTTTCCCCTTAAGCTGTTCTGTTCTTATTTTATGATTGTTAGGGTCTTCTGTTTTTCTCTCTGAAGATATTAATTGTGTTGTTTGACATTTTCTTCTTTTCCCTGTATTGTCTGTTTCCTCTGGGTCCCCTTATCCCCCTTTGGTTTGTTTATTTTCTTTTTAGTGTTGGAGATTTTCTTCAGATGTCTAGTAATCCTGGTATGTGTGGGGAAAAGTCCCCTTGGCTGCTTTTGAAGATGAGGATTGGAACCTCATCTTCATCTCCTATATACATGTTGTATATAGACATGTAACAGTTCTTCAGTTTTTAGTTCCGTATCTCAGTCAAGTGTTCTGTGGCTAATGATAGCTCCAAGTCCTGGATCTGGCAAATCAATTCTGTTCACATTGGTGTCCCCTCTTTATGGGCATTTGTGTTATACCTTCTGTCTGCTAGGTCAGTTCCCACTCTTTCTTTGTTACCTCTTTTCCAAACATTTGCTGTAAAAGTTTATTGGAATCTCTTGCCTGTGAAGGTTTTCTCTCCTTTTCTTGTTGTCTTTGTAGATTTATATGTCTTCCCCCCTCCCCTCACCTTTTTTCTTGTTGTTTTATTGGGTTAGGGAAGGAGAGGTCATTTTTGGATTTGACTTGCCATGTTTAATCATTTGAAATCTTTCTTTTAGATAGTTTGGTTCCATAGGAAAGATAGCAATATATTAATGGTCTAGCAGAAAAAGGAATGTTTATTACTATGGTTGTAATTTTATTTAATTTTTTTCCAGAGGAAGACATGAGGAAGGTATTCACTAATCAAAATTTCAGTTTTTCTTAATTGTAGGTTTTTCACTTCAGAATTCCAATTTTGCTCTTTACATAGTCTACAAATAATGGATAATGAAGTGGAAAGAATTCAGGATTTGGACTCAGAACCTTGAGCTCAAATCCTGCTTCCACTGCTCAGTAGTTACATGGCTATGAACAAGTTAGTCTCCATGAATCTTAGCATTCTCCTCTATAGAATTAGGATAAAATCTATGCCCCATTTCCCCCCCCCATGGGATTATTATAAGGACTTGGTGAGATAATGGAAATAAAAATGTTTAAGAGAAGATAAAGGATTTAATGAGAAAATGAGGATTTAATGATTCACTTTTATGTTCCTACCTAATTCAGAAGAAAATATAGAGGGGGTATGGTTTGGGCTGGTTGACCGGTGCTAGGTAAAAAGTACAGAAAATGCATCCTCAGAAAGGTGTGAGTTTCTCTCAACCTGGTTAACAAGTTAGTATGTTTCTCTTGTCCTCATTCCTCCTCCTTACCTTCACTTGAATGCTGATTCCAGGCCTTGTAATAGAAAGCCTGACTAGATAGGTGATTCAAGCAAATACAGGTGTCTCAGCAACAGGAGCCTACCCTGCCATGTCATGGTTACTCTCCCTCACTGTTTTTCCCCCAGATGCTGCTGCAGATTGCTGATGATTTTATTGAGAGTGTGGTGACAGCTGCCTGCCAGCTTGCTCGGCATCGCAAGTCCAGCACCCTGGAGGTGAAAGATGTCCAGCTACATCTAGGTATGCGCTCTCGTTTCTCCTGAGGTAACCACACTATTGCTCCTTCAGGAACCTTCCTGCCAGAATCAGACTTTAGGGCTCTGGAATTTATATATTCATTCAATAGTAACATTAAACAGGAAAGAGAAATCCATCCATGGTAGGGGCATGAGCCCTTCTTTGGGTTTGCCACTTTCTAACTATACCACCTTATCCTTTCCACTTACTTTCTCTTAAAGTCGATTTCCTCATTTGTAAAGTGGGGATCATAATATCCTCCTTACAGGGTCTTTGTGAGGATTATAGATAATGTTTGTAAAGTGACTGGCACAAAATAATGATCTTAGTAAATGTAGCTATTATATGTCCACCATTCATATAATGGTATTTTCCTTCCAGTTTAGTTTATTGATTTATTTTTCCCAAGAACATTATAGCCCTAATGCACATATAATTTTGTATTCTGCTTTTCTATTTAATAGACACTAAATTTAAGCTTGGATTTTTCTGGGAGATACTCATCTAACATTGATAATCATAATCACTTGGAAATGAATAAGCCACCCCCATCCCCATCCCCTACTGCATTGGTTGCAGTATGATCAAAAGGAAGGGAACAATCTGTGACTGCAAAGTCAGGCCAAGAGAATAAGGCACAGTTATTAAGGGATTCAGTGCAGATCAGCCCATGACGGAAAGGCTTCCTTCTCGGTATTAGGGAGCTACTGCTCAGAAGGTACTGGTACTGGGGGTGGAATAAATGACACACTTCTGGTTAACATTGCTGGTATTATTAGCAGAAGACTTTGCATTATACTTTTGCATCATACTTTGGCCACCTGATGCAAAGAACTGACTCATTGGAAAAGACCCTGATGCTGGGAAAGATTGAAGGCGGGAGGAGAAGGGGATGACAGAGGATGAGGTGGTTGGATGACATCACCAACTTGATGGACATGAGTTTGAGCAAGCTCCAGGAGTTGGTGATGGACAGGGAAGCCTAACATGCTGCAGTCCATGGGGTCGCAAAGAGTCAGACACGACTGAGTAACTGAACTGAATAGCAGAAGACAGATATTTCAGTTACCTATTATAGTATAACAAACATGGCAGAAACAGCATGGCTTTTGTTAACTAGTCTCTGAAGACACACTGCGTTGCATGTGCATGTGCTAAGTCGCTTCAGTTGTGTCCAGTTCTTTGTGACCCCATGGACTATAACCTGCCAGGCTCCTCTGTCCATGGGATTCTCCAGACATGAATACTGGAGTGGGTTGCCATTTCCTTTTCCAGGTGATCTTCCTGACCCAGGGATCGAACCAGCATCTCATACATCTCCTGCATTAGCAGGCGGGTTCTTTACCACTAGTGCCACCTGGGAAGCTGAATTCTCTTCTATGAGGCAATCACAAAGACCTGTCCAGGTTCAAGGGGAGGGATCATAGACTCCACTTCTTTTTTTTTTTTTTCCTACTATCTTATTTTATTTATTTATTTATTTTTCCATTTATTTTTATTAGTTGGAGGCTAATTACTTTACATCATTGCAGTGGTTTTTGTCATACATTGAAATGAATTAGCCATGGATTTACATGTATTCCCCATCCCGGTCTCCCCTCCCACCTCCCTCTTCACCCTATCCCTCTGGGTCTTCCCAGTGCGCCAGGCCCAAGCACTTGTCTCATGCACCCAACCTGGGCTGGTGATCTGTTTCACCCTAGATAATATACATGTTTCGATGCTGTTCTCTTGAAACATCCCACCCTCGCCTTCTCCCAGAGTCCACAAGTCTGTTCTATACATCTGAGACTCCACTTCTTGATAGAAGACATACTTTAAAACTACCACAACACAAATGCATAAAGACCAAAGGCTAGGTGGTTACCAGAGGCTAGGAGGATAGAGCAATGGAAGTTAGTTTAATGTGTACACAGTTTTGGTTTGGATGGATGAAAAAGTTTTAGAGGTGGAGAGTGGTAATGTTGTGTGAATGTGCTTACTGCCACTGAGCCGTACACTTAAAAATGGTTAATTTTATGTGTATTTTATCATACCCTCCCCAAAACAATCCCACACAGTTTCTATTACTTTCAGAGTTTAACATTCCTGTTTGTAGAAGTATTTTATATTTTGATTGTTGAAAATAAAATTGGAATGTCAGTTTTTTCATTAAGGGTAAGAAATAATTATCACAGATATGAATACTTGAAATCTGTATGACCAGAATAGCTTCTTGTCAGGGGGCCTAATGGAACCTGAATTATAAGGAAGATTGCTGGGAGGCATGGGATCAGAGCATGGGAAGTTAGGGACCCTGGTGTTAACCATCTAGGTCAGCTGCACACACCCTCCCTCCTCCTAGCCCTAGCAAGGATAAGTTTGCCAGTGGAGCTGTAAACCTTGAAGGCTTTCTTTTGGATAGGCTGAGATTGATACTGCCGGTGTTTGCTTCTCACTCAGCTGTTTCCTATACTTGAATAGTTAAATAACCTCACCTTCTGATTGACATGGTCTTCGTTTCTTTTTTTTTTTTTTTGCATTAAATATATTTATATGTAGAGTATACATTCACACTAATTCATTATCTTTAGATTTAAATGAATGTAAATATTCCGGGTTACTAAACTCATTAACTTAGGTATCTTCTAACAAGTTGTACTTGAATATATGTTAAATATGTACTCCTTTTGAGTAGAGATTTATTCCCTAAATAATCTTATATGTGTGATTTTTTTACATTTGATGTACTTAAAGTGCAATATACTTTTATTTGTGGATTGGAGGGTCCATGCCAGTTTCTGACAAAGTAGAATAACCAAATGTCTGCCCTCTGGTAACTTGGAGTGGCAGTCTTACAAGTATGATCATCCAGCGGCACAAGGAAATGGAGCTGTGGCGTGGACGTACTTGTGTCAGTATCTGTATTTCTGTGTGTTTATCTCAGGTTCTGGGATTGCATTATGCCACTGAGGGCTCTCAACCACCCTATCAGGTGGTTATTTCTGTTGTTGTTCAGTCGCCAAGTCGCGTCCAACTTTTTGCTTCCCTATGGATTGCAGCACACAAGGCTTCCCTGTCCTCCACCATCTCCTGGAGTCTGCCTAATTTCATGTCCATTGAATCAGTGATGTCAGCCAACCATCTCATCTTCTGTTGCCCTCTTCTCTTTCTGCCCTCAGTCTTTCCCAGCATCAGGGTCTTTTCCGATGAGTAGGCTCTTCGCTTCAGGTGGCCAAAGTATTGGAGCTTCAGCTTCAGTATCAGTCCTTCCAATGAGTATTTCTGTTGTTACAACCTTATAAAAGGTCAAGAAACCAAGATCCAACATTATATTGCTCCACAGTGAAGCAACAGAGCTAGGACCTTGCTCTTCACTCCAGATTGCTAAGAGTGCCTTTCTGTTCCTACTCCTTTAGGTTTGAGAGCGGTTGCCTTGAGCATAAGGGTAAGATGGTTGAAGAAACAAATAACTTTCCTGAAAAGCTACATAGAAAACCTTAGGGCTTCACACTCAAAAATTTGACTCATTTACCTCCTTCTTCCTTGCAAGAAGGTCAAACTGTCCTCTAAAACCTTGAAGGCACCATATGCAGTTACCTTTTTGGGTCCCATAGAGCCACTCTTCAGAGTTGCTGTTTATTAGTACAGTGAATTGCCCAGGTTAGTCCTCCCTGACCCTTGTCTGAGAGTCTCACGGCACCCGGACACTCTCTTCCTCGTCCCCTTATCTCTGTTTGGGCTTCTTCTTTACAGAACGCCAGTGGAACATGTGGATCCCAGGGTTTGGCTCTGAAGAAATCCGACCCTACAAAAAAGCTTGCACCACAGAAGCTCACAAACAGGTGAGAAGCCTTCAGAGTCCCAAGACTGCCACAGCTGATTCCTTGAGTTGTGTCTCAGAGAGAAGGCACACAGCTACCATCTGTAGCTGGGAAATGACTGCAGTGTCATTTCCCCCAAAGGTCAGAGAGGGCAGGAGGCAGCAAGGCTCCATGGCACATCAGCCAGGTTTTTCCTTGGTACTTTGCTGTTCTCACATGGGGTCTGTTTTTTCTGTCAACCCTGATAGAAAAAACTGAGTGTCTGTGGGTGTTGCTTAAAGTTGTTGATTCTGGGTTCTTCTAACATGGATGGAACTCACTCCCACCACATCTCTTTAATGAAATCTTTCATTGTTGCTGATTTGAACATTCATCTAGGACCCCCTGACTAAATGGCAGTTTAAGGAAAGAAGTATGCTATACTTGTGCCAGGAGGTAGCACCCAGGCTGTTCTGCCAGGCATTCTGGCCTCTGCCCCAGCTTAACCTTTGTTCTCTGTCCCTCTTACAGCAGAACTGAGGGGCCAGTAAGAGAATCTGTCTCCACTTCTGCTGGAGAACAACTTGTCCCTGTCATTAGTCTCATAGCAATGCTGGCCTCCGTTTGACAAGTCTTAATTTAACTGGCCACTCTGATTTGAAAGTGTGCTGTTTGCAAGCTTTAGATGGCCACAGTTGGACAGTTCTGACTGACTGTACCTTGCTTTTCCATAACTTAGGATCTCTGAATGGGTGTGTTTACAAAGCTCACAAAGGAAGCTCTATAAGAAGACTGCCAATAGCCTAAGTGCAGTGTTGTTCAGAAGGGAGTCCCTCAAGGCAATGGACAGTCAATTTGGTTCTGCTATCAAATTGTCCGCTTTTAGCCCTATTTATCTATCAGTCAGCAAATACAATGTTAAAGCAATCTCTTAGTCAAAAAGAGTGAGCAAAGCAAGTCGTTAATTTGGCCAGTGGCTGGTAATAGAAAGATTTGAAACCCATGATCTGAATGTTGCCCTGATGGGTTATGGTGGAAATTATTAGAGTCAGTTTCCTCCATTGCAGATCATCAAGTGACATCAAATGTCAGCTCCCTTTGTGTGTTGGCAACAGGCTCAAAACAGAGGCCTCTTCTCTATTTTCTCCATCATCAGGAAGAGATTGGTGAGGGGGAGTAAGCCTAGAAAACACATATTTTGATGGCCAGTCCCTTAAATCCCTGAAAGGCAAGAGATGTCAGTTTCTGCTTTTAACTTTTTTTTTTTTGCCATCCTGCTAGCATAGGGCTCTTTGAGTCTTTCAGTCAATGAAGTGGGTCTACTGGCCAATGTAAACATCTCTTAGGGCCCCACAGACTGTACTTTGGTTAGAAGGAGTCTGCTGAGCTGCCCTGTGCCTGTAAGTTCCTGAGGACTCCAGCCTCAGGAGTGGCGTAGACCATGCTGCCTGGTAACCACACATGGATTTCCTGGAAAGTTCCTCACTCTAACCTGTATAATCGCTATTTTTCTCTCCTTTCAGAGAATGGCGTTGATCCGGAAAACAACCAAGAAATAACGCATGGAAAGGTCAGGGGATGGACAGCAATGTATTTGGAGATACTTGAGCTGAGACCTCAGCCATCTCATCCTTGGATTTTTTTTTTTTTTTAATGCTTTACAGAGAAGCATATATTTTTTATTAACAGTGCAGCAATATCTATAATGACTGAGAGGATCTGCCAAAAGAATAAAGCCTCCTACCCCAACTTTCAGTCCCTGTTCCCTGCCATCTCAAAGAAGAGCAGTGTATCTTCCAGAGAAGATTTTATTTGTGGTTTATTATATAAGTGATTGAATAGGGGACAAAGCATTATGGTCTTGTTTGGTGAGAGAGTATTAATATTAGCAGGATTTGTAGAGGTTTCTGTTCCCTTCTCCCTCCACCTTCTCCCTGTACTTTGTAATGTCAGTGTTTATATGAATATGACTTTCATTTGCTTTTCCAGAATAAAGAAGTTATTAATCAAAAGAAACAGGGTACATGGCTTACAGCCTTTAAAAATGCCAGAGGAGGATAAGCAAGGCTGAATATAGGCCTCTAGTCAGCAGATGGCAGCACTATTATTCATTTCTATGATGGAGGAAAAAACCCAGGGATTTTTCCATTATTTTACTCCAAGGAAGACCATACCATCAGCAGGACTGTCAGTCCAGTCTCTCTGCCATAACAATCAAGCAGGGTGACCTTTTCTTATCAGCCCTAAACTGAAGAGGCATCCTGATTTGGGGAAATTGTTTTTGATCTGCTTTTCTGGAACTGCTGGAGTTCATCCTTGATGCCGAGAAAAGATGGCAACAGACTTGGGGGAAGGCCTTTCCGTGCAGGCTTCCGTCTGTCTGTCGTTGTGGAGATCCTAGTATTTTCACCATCGTACAGAGGAAACAGGCTGCTTTGAGACCTCAGGGTCATGACCTTCAGTGGCACCTAGCATCATCCTGTCCTGTGCCTGGCAGAGACCTTTGTGGATCCTGAAGTTTCCAGGAGCTTCAGGGAGCATGGCTGCCCACCCAGGGGCCACCAGCATGGACACATCCCCCTTGCCCCACTTTGGGTCTCTGCCTCCTGAGACTTGGTCTGTGGTGGGACCCTGCTGTTCACTCCCTCCCACCCTGAGTTTGGCCCCATGACCCCTCTCTTCACAGCTCATAGATCTCCTGAGTGAGCAGCTTAAAGTCTGTGCTGGATGTCACCGTTGTTTTTGGCTGAGGTCTCCATATAATAAGCACCCAAAGAGGCAGCCAGCTTCTCGCCTTCTCTCCGGTATCACCTGTCGCTCAGTCATCACTCTTGTGGCCTCCCACCAGGCAGAGGATGTTGAAGGGTTGTGCTTTCTCCAGAACCTCCTGATGCTGCTGGGGGACACTCAAAGGATCTTCTCTTGGTGATTACCAAGCTGCAAAAAGCCTCCCACCAAGTTCCTGCAGTAGGAGCTAGTCATTGGCTTCGGCAGCAAAGAAGGAATCCAGAGTTAGTTTTGAATCTTCCATTGAGGACAGAAGGGGGCAGGGAATCCGGGCAGTTTAGTGGCAAGAGCTGGGTTGAGTCAAAAGACCTCAGTTCTTGATCAGCTGCGTGACAGGTGAGTGCATTCCTCCAGCTGAGACATCTTGTCCTGTGTGCTCCCTGAGAGGCTTGTTCATCCAGCGAGTGTTTATAAGCTGTGCCCCTGCTCATGCCAGGCATGGCCAGCGATGATGAATGAACACAGGGAGCGTTCCTTCCACTGAGGGAAAGGGAACCTGCCTCCATGACAAGAACTACAAAGCAGAGACTCCCAGGGTCAGGGGAGAGCGTCTGAGCAGTTGAGCTGTAATTTAAGGGATCCATGGGAAGGCAGGGTCACTTTAAAGGAGAGAGAGCTGAATATTTGCCAACCCCAATGCAGTGTGGTGAAGTGAGACGGGCCAGGTCATGCGGTGTCTTATAGGCCTCAGAAGAGTGGGCTTTACCCAGAAATCAGGAACCACTGAAGGATTTTAGGCAGAAATGTGACATGGTTAGATTGGTGTTTTGAAAAGATCACTCTGGCCAGACAGTGGAGGGGATAAGAAAACATTTGGAGAAGCAGAGGTTCATAAGCAGGTTGTTGCCTGGACTGAGGTGGCTATAACGAAGTAGAGAGAAGGGAGATTTGACAGCTGTTTAATGGTGCACGCGTGGGCCTTGGTGACTGGATGTGGGGAGAGAGGTGTCACCGAGTATCTATAAGGGATCTCCTAACTTGGTGTCTGGGATAGCTTAGCCTGGGTGCAAGGCCTTCTGCCTCACTAGTTAAGTAACCGGGCCCATCTCATTCCCAGAGCCCTGCATAGTGAGTACGCAGACGGCTTAACACATGCTGAGCAGCCCAGGGAGTGGGGAGCAGGGCTGATGAGTTCGTGTGCTCCGGAGAGTACTTAATAGGTGGCACGTGCTGTGCCGAGCACCTTCTGTGAATAAGCTTGATTCCCCAACAAGTCTGAAGAAAAAGTGTCAAGCACTTTGCAATAATCTCATTTAACCCCATTTTTCAGTGAGGCAACTGAACTTTAGAGTGTTTAAGTAATCTACTCAGTATCACACAGGTAGTAGTGATGGTGCTAAGGTTTCAACCAGGTCCCTCTGACTCCAGAACCTGCTCCCCTGACTGTGCCCTAAACTCTCTCCCCAAGTCCTGGGGGGGGACAGAGAGGGGAGCGGCAGTGCATGCAAAGGGCTGGAGGTGTGAAGAAGTCACCTCATCAATGTGGCTGAAGCATAAGGTGCTACGTCAGGAGAGAATGGTCAGAGGTGAGCAGAGTAAGCCTGGGGGTGGACAGCCCTCAGGCCTAGTGGTGGGGTCTAGTGCCCGTGTTTGGAGCCTGCCATGTGTGCGTCTTGCAGGGGGTTGGGAGGGTGTGGGGAGCCCAGCTGGCTGACCCTGGGCTTCCCACCCCTCTTCAGCCTGAGCATTACCCCTCTCAGCTCTGGAGCATTTTAGGGCTGTGGGAAAGATCCCATCTGACAAGATTCTGATGCTAGTGAAAGTCGCTCAGTCGTGTCCAATTCTTTGCGACCCCGTGGACTCTGTCTATGGAATTCTCCAGGCCAGAATACTGGAGAATACCGTTCCCTTCTCCAGGGGATCTTCCCACCCCAGGGATTGAACCCAGGTCTCCCACATTACAGGCACATTCTTCACCAGCTGAGCCACCAGGGAAGCCCTCTGATGCTAACAGCAGGCATGTAAACAAAAAGTTTGAATCAACCAAAAGGCAGCTGTAGAGGGTGGTCACAAAAACAGGGGTGAGTTTTGAGGACCTAGAAGGCGCCATCTGGCATCAAGAAGCCATCCTGGAGGGGGTCCCTCCTGCATGGGGTAAAGCAGGGAGGAGGAGGGTCACGCTGGACTGAGGTCTCACAGTTTCCTATAGTTGGGAAGGTTTTCCACAGTCCCCCAGTGTAGTCCTTTATTTTCCAGGTAAAGGCCCCTTCCCTTCCTCTTTGTTTAAAAAAATTTGGCTGTGCTGGGTCTTTGTTGAGGCACATGGGCTTCTCTAGATGTGCCACGCGGGCTTAGCTGCCCGTGGCCTGTGGGATCTTAGTTCCCCAGCCAGGGGATCGAATCCTGCATTGGAAGGCAGATTCTTAATCACTGGACCACCAGGGGAGTCCCACCCCTTCCCCTTCTGATGGGTGGACTCTCTCTCAAGGGTGGGTGGTTTAGAAGGCTGGGCAGGGGCTGAGCGGAGGACCTTTCCTGGCCAGCTAGACCCCTAGGCTCTACCTCCACAAAACTCCTGAAGGCCACCTCTACTGCCCGGGTGACGCCCTCGGCAAAGATGCCCTCCCTGCAGGCCCCATGTGCTGACCCCTTTCTTCCCTCTGCTGACCTGAGTCCCAGAGCGCGGGCTATGCAGTGTGAAGCTTACCTCTCCCAACACTGGGACTCCTGCGGGACATGTCCCAGCCAGGGGTCCTAGAGAGATCCACATCTGTCACCCACTAGGGCCAGGATCTAAGAATAACTTTCATAGAAAAAAGGAAGAAGAAAACACAATGGGCCTGCTGCTATTTGCTGAAGCTGAGTTATGAGTACAAGAGGTTCTTCACAATCCTTTATACTAGTTTCTTTATTCTTGATTATGTTTCAGATTTCCCCTAATGGTCTTAGAAAGCCCAGTGTTCCCCTGCCAGAGAGCCTCCTCAAGGGAATCAGCCCGATCTTGAAGAGCTGCCCTCTAGTGGGGCAAAAAGACACAGCAGAACCTGAAATCTGCAAAGAGGAGAGCCGTTGCATAAGTGCCCTGAAGGCTCAGGGAAAGAAATAGGTTGGACTAAGGTTTGATGGGTGAACAGAGTTTTGACAGAGATGGAGGCGTGACATTCCAGGCAAGGGAGTCACACACAAAAGACCCAGAGGAGGCTTGTTGGCAGAAGTAACCTAACATTTATTAAGTGTTAAGTAACCTAAAAATCCACGTCATAATTAATCCTCTAACAAAACTGTGAGGTAGGAATCATTCTCATTTTACCATGAGGAGAGGCTTGGAGGCCAAGTAGCCTGTGGGGAGCCCAGCCCATATCTCTGCAAGGGGTTAGAACCTTTAAGAACTTTGTTAGCATTTGGAATTCTTATTTCCCTAAAGTATATACTTTAGTAGCCTCTGTTCCCTAACAGTCATAAGAGCAAAACCCTCAGGGGAAGAAGTGGACATCCACCTTCTGAGCTCCTAGAGCCTAGTGAGGAGTACTGCCTTTGATTTGTTATTTGATCCTTTCTAAAACTGGTGAGTTAGGAAGTATTATCCCCATCTTACAGATGAGTCCACTGAGGCTTAGATGAAATGAGTTCCCCAGGGTCCCACAATTGTATATAGCAGAGCTGAGATTCAAACCCAGGTTTGACCCTATTTTTGGCAGCTGGGATAATGCAGCGGTTAAGAGGAGGCCATATTATTCTGAGTGTTGCAGGCTGATCAGATAACACAGGGAGGGAGTAAAGTGCTAGGGTCTTCCAACCAAAGGGAACAGCGTGTGCAAAGCCCAGGGCTAGGTGGTTGGGAACTTGGGCAAAGCAGGTGGAGATGCCATAGGACCAGATCAGACTGGACTTGGGGGGAAAGGGTTTGGATTTTACCCTGCAGGCAATGGGGAGCCAGGGAGGGATTCTAGGAGTGGAGCAGCCAGGTCAAATCTGTATTTTAAAAAGATCCCCTGGGGCAGTGTGGATGCTAAATCACACCCAGCGAGCCTGAGACCCTCAAGATGAGTGATACAATCTACACTAAAGATTGGAGGGCGGGGGGGGGGGGGGGGGGGGGGAGGGGCGGGGGGTGCTGCACTGAGACAGCAATGGCAAACTGGTTGGCAAGTGGTACATATGAAGCGCCCAATCAGAGCTGGACACCGTTCCTTCTGCCCAGATCTCTGCTCTTAGCTTGGTTCTTCCTCCTCATCTAGGTTCTCAAATCAAAGGCCATCTCCTGAGAGAGGCCCTCCTTGACCATCTGCTCTAAACGAGCCTCCATCACCCTCAGGCCCATCTCTCGGATCTGTGGTCTTTATAGCACTTACAGCTAAGACTCATTTAGTCCCACTTACTAGTTTTTTTCTCTTCCACTGGAATGTCAGCCCTAGGACTGCTTTTCTGTCCTGTTCACTGCTGTATTCCTGGAGCCTAGATAGAACAGATGCTCATTTTAAGACATTTTTGATGAAGGGATGATAATAACTCTAAAGCAAATTATTTCCTCTCTTTCACTTTCTCATCTACGAAATGAAGACAGTCGCACCAACCTTGCAGGATGGTCAGAAGAATGAGTGATGTTTTGAAAAGAGAAGGCAGGGAGGAAGTCGAGCACAGGGAGGTTGCTCCTGGCCCAGGTGCCAAGGCGAGGAAGCTAAAAATCACCCGAGTGAAACTTCCCAAGACCCCGAGGAAGGAGAGGTTTTCAGTGACAGCTTACTGAGGAGGAATCCGAGACTCAACAAGGTCGAGTAACTGGTCCCAGGTCACAAAGTGAGTAAAGGGGCTCTGCTATTTCTGCTATGGCAACTTCCCTGCCCTGCCCTGCCCATGCCCACTGGCACAATGAGACCGCCCAGATATCCCCTTGACACCTGCTGTGTTGCTGTTCAGTCACCAGGTCCAGCTCACTGCGACCCCATGGACCACAGCACGCCAGGCTTCCCCGTCCGTCAGTCTCCCGGAGCTTGCCCACGTTCGTGTCCATTGAGTCAGTGATACCATCCAGCCATCTCACCCTCTGTCACCCTCTTCTGCCTTCAGTGAAGTGTAAAGATCCCTCTCTCCATAAACCCTTCCTGCATTGCCACTGGATATTTTGCGCCTAGCAGCTTCTGTTGCAGGTTAAGTTCCCCAACAGCCAGATTTTGAGAACAAAATCAGTGTGCAGACTTTTATTTTTTTAGTATTTACTTGTTTGGCTGCACCAGGTCTTAGTTGCAGCAGGCAGGATCTTCAGTCTTCATTGTGGCATGTGAGATCTTTAGTTCCAGCATGTGAGTAATTGTTCCCTGAGCAGGGATCGAACCTGGGCCCCCTGCATTGGGCGCTCAGAGTCTTAGCCCCTGGACCACGAAGGAAGTCCCCTAGACTTTTATATATAATTTTTTTTCCACGCCATGCAGACTGTGGGATCTCCAGTTCCCCAACCAGGGACTGAATCTGGGCTCTTGGCTTTGAGATCACAGAATGCTAACCATGGGACCGCCAGGGAATTCCAAGGGTGCAGACATTTTTCCCCCTTGTATTTTTGTGCAGACTTTTATTACGAAATTCTTTCTTAAAAAAATATTTACTTGACTGCACCAAGTCTTAATTGTGGCACTTAGGATCTTCGATCTTCATGGCAGCATGTGGGATCTAGTTCCCTGAGCAGGGATCGAAATGAGGCCCCCTGCATCAGAAGCTCAGGCTCTTAGCCACTGAACCACCAGGGAAGTCCCTATTAGGAGTTTCTTGAGATCAATACCTGCTGGGTGGGGGAGGAAGGGAAGAAAGCAGGATTGAGCAGGAGAATGTAGCTGTGATGCTGTCCTAAAGGTGGCCTCAATGGACCCCATGGAGAGTGATGAAGATGGGTGTTTCCTTCAGAGTTGTCTACAGTTGAGGCAAGAAGGCCAGGCCTTTGAACACTCCCCCCGCCCCCAACAGATCTGATACATTGATGCTGGACTGGGCTGCCCCAGATGAGCAGGCAGTTCCCAGAGAGCAACCTGGGCTCCACCACCACATAGCACTCCCAGCAGCTAGGAGCTCTGGTGGGGAGGAGGCCATGGGTTCTTCAGCCCTGGGGGGAGATTTTGGTGGCTAACCAAGTGTCCACCATGCGCCCAGCCAGAGAGCTGTTCATATTCATCCCTGCCTCTCCGACCCGTGGCCTTGGAGTAGGAGCACTGGGCAGCAATCCGGGTTTGAAGGCACACTTTCTCATCCAAGCCTGAAGACCTGGCTCAGCCTGAAAGCCCCTGCCCCGCTCCTCGCCTGTAGCAGCGTCCACACGCTGAGTGGCTTGGCATCCGAGCCCAAGGACGCTGCCTGAAATGGCCACATCCTGGCCAAGAGAGGAAAGAGCAGCAGCTATGACAGTTCTTATTATTCGATTTTCACTGTGTGGGAGGCTCTGGCTCTGGCTGAGCATAGCGCATCCATGATCTCAGTCATGCCCACAACCCCCCATGAGTGGGGTCTGTTACGAGCTCCTCTGACCACAGAGGAAACAGTCTCCAGGACAGGAAGCTGCACACCTGGCCTCTTAGACCTTTCTGGTGGAAAAGGGGCTGAGCTCCAAGACCCCAAAATCCAGGAGGCATTACTGTGCCAGGATATGGTTTGTAATAACTCTGTGAATAGATTCTGCCATTTGGCCTCCAGAGAGATACTAACACTCCCCATCCCACCAGCACTGCGTTAACCCTTTCCCTCCTAGAGTCAACACCTGCATGGGCCCGGGTGCTGTATCCTGCTGGGCAGTCTGGAGCTCTGGGTGTTCTGGATGAGACGCACACCCCCCCAGTCCTCCTCCAGTTTGATGTCCCCCTGCCACAAGGCCTGCTGGATGGTGTTGGCAAGGGTGTCGAAGGCCAGGTCCACATTGCAGTTACTTTTGGTGGAGGTCTCCATAAAGCCTGTGCCCAAGGAGGCAGCCAGCTCCTCCGCCTCCTGGGTTGAGACACAACGGGCACTCTGCAGGTCACTCTTGTGGCCAATTAGCAGGAAGATCGCCTTGTCGGGGCCCTGAGTGGCCATGACCTCCTGATGCCAGTCTCGAATGTGCTCAAAGGACTTCCTGTTTGTCACATCAAAGACCAGCAGGACACCCACCACATTCCGGTAAAAGGACCTGGTGATGCACCTGATGGTGAAGGGAGTACAGTGAGAGAGGGTTACGCCTTCAACACGCCGGGTCCTGCATCCCCCTCCATCCAGTGACTGCCTCACACCCCCATTTCAGCTCAATTCACACCACCCTCTGCTTCCCTCTGCCCCGGTCTGTGTCTCTCCCAAGTTACTGTGTGTTCCTCAGTCAGGGAGCAGTTTGATTCCCATACTCCCCTGACCATTTCTGGAGAAAACCTGATGTTTTCCTTATCACAGGTTTCCCCGTTCTCTCCCTGGCAAACTCCTACGCATCCTTCACAGCCAACAGAAATATCTCCTCTTTCCACCGCTCCCTGACACCTCCCTCTCTGCGCTTCTGTGGGCCCTCTCAGCACCCAGGTCATTCATCCCTCTAGGTTTCAATGTCGAATATTCCACTGGGGCCAGCCGGGCCAGGTCTCAGGCATCAAGCTCAGGGGCTCAGCCCACCAGCTGTTACTCAAGCGTGAAGGACCCGGGCCCAGGGCAAGGACCCCCCAGATCTCTACTTAGGCCACTGAGGGCGGCGACTCTGAGGGATCCCCATGGTCACCCAGCCCCAACCAGAAACCCCTCACCCCAAACCCTTCTCGTCCCTCCCCTGCCCACCTCCCACCCACCGCGCACCTGAAGCGCTCCTGGCCCGCCGTGTCCCAGAGCTGCAGCTTGACGCGCGGCCCGGCCTGAAGCTGCACAGTGCGGGTATAGAACTCGACGCCCACCGTGGGCGCCGACTCGAGCTGTAGCTCGGTCTCGGGGATCCCGGGCTCACCCCTCATGTAGCACCGCAGCAGCGACGTCTTGCCCACGGCCGCGTCTCCCAGCAGCGCGATCCGAAACTGGTAGCGACAGCCCCCTGCCTCCATGGCCAGCGTCTCGCCTCCCGAGGCCAGACTGCCAACTGTGCGCCCCCGCCCCCGCCCCGCAGTCGCAGCCACGCCCACGCCCCGTCTCTAGGCCCCGCCCCCCAGTCTCCGGGAGGCCCCCGAGACACCCACACCCGGGCCTGGAGAACCTGGGGCGTCTTCAGCAACGCCGAACGGTTCGCCGAGGAAACCACCCGGCCCGGTGGAAACACCTGGACAGGTCACTTCCTCGCTCCGGGCCTCAGTTTTCTCCTCTGTAAAGTGGAGATAATCATCTCTACTTCAAGGAAGAAGAGATTAAACTAGATAATGTGGGGAGGAGGGCTACCGAGGACCGATCACCACACCCAGCGTGCCCTGGCCTGAGACTGACTGACTGCGCCGGAGCGACCACTGCATTCATTCTTTGGGGCGGTTTCTCTCTGCAGCCCCAACTCTCTGTTAGTCCTCCTCTTGCGCCCGTGCTGCTGGACCTGGCGAAGGTTGATGGTTTATAGATGCACTTTTCTCACCCAGATGCCCCTTTCCTGGAGCCCTACTGGCCCTGTTCAGTGTTCAGGTTCAACAGTTCAGCAGGCCCCACTGCTTCCACCCTGCCTGCCTGCGCTGGGCCCCAGGGGCGAGAGAGAGACTTGGACACAGTCAGGTAGAGGGGGCAGGGTAGATAGACAACTGCAATTCCAGAGGGTACAGTTGGCTTGTGGACTGGACAGCTAAGGTTTATGAGGTGAGATGGTCAGTTTCTTATGCTTTGGGACAGCAACCCTCTGAGAAGGCTATCGTGTGCCCATTTTAGAGCTCAGGAGACTGAGGCTCAGATGTGTGGCTGTCACACATTTGACACGTGTGGCTCACCCTTGATACTACAGAAGGGGACTGGAAAGCAAGTTCCCAAAGGACCAAGACAAAGTGGGTCAGGGGCACGGTAAGGCAGATGCACCGGCATTCAAGATCTCCTCCACTCTTTCCAGTCTGATCTTCTGAACACCCAGAACATCAAGGCTCGAAGTTGGTCCCAAACAGCTTGTCTGCTGGTTTAATCTCACTAACCCACAGTGGGTAGATGTTGCAGTTTAACAGGTTGGCAGTTGGAAGCAGTTCTCACTAAGGCAAACCATCATATCATCACATTTCCTCCTTACACAACCTTGTGAGTAGGTGTTAATCTGCCCGGCTTTTTACAGATGAGAAAACTGAGGTTCACAGAAATTAAGTAACCAGCCCAAGATCATTCAGCACAGAAGACAGAGTGGTGGCCAAATTTGTTTCTGGCTGGACAGTTTGAGGACCTGGGAAGGCCCAGATTTCCTAAATAAATCAGTGAGGAGCCATTTTGTTAAGCCTTCTAGTAATTCTGCCCTTTGGTCACTGCACTAGCCTGAAGGGGCCCAAGTCTCAGCTCACCCCCACTCCAGGAGAGAAAGGAAAATCAGGTAGGGTGTAAGGTGTTGAGGATCCTCCCTGCCAGTTCTATCCAAACCAGGAGAGTCTGCCCCATTCCCACCTGCCCCTCTGAGGTTTCCATCAGGACGCTCTCATCATCTTGCTCTGTTCAGCTGGAAAAATAGTTTTAAATAGTTTTTGCATCAGGCCTGTGCAGAACCGTCTCCCCTCATTCCACCCTCTCCCGTCTTTACCCACCACTGGTGCTCCAGCCGTGCTGAACATTTTTCCTCTTATCAGCCCAATGCCAAGAACACCCCCCTTCTGCTCTTCAAAGGGTAACTAACCCCAATTTTAGGCCTCAGGTTAGATCTATGTCTTCAAGAAGCCCTTCATTGACTGGCTAGTGAGGTCACAGACCCTTTTGTCCTTTGTGATGTCTGTCTCCCTTCTAGACTCAGGCCCCTTGAGGACAAGGACCAGTGGCTGTATCCTCAGTGCTTGGCTCAGTAAATATTTCTGGTCGAATGAATGAATAAAAGTGGATGTGCTATTCATTTATTCATTCACTCATTATTCATTCAAATACCACAACAGAGTTGGACTCAGGGAGCCACGGGGTTAGAAAAGACCTCTTGGAGAAGCTGAAGCTGAAGCTGCGTCTCCAAGGACAGTGGGAGCTGGGGAGGTGATCGAGAAAGGGCACTTGGGCAGGGGCAGTGGGTGAAGGCAGAGAGGCATGGAACAGCTTGAAAGGAGTTTGAACCCAGACATCCCAGAAGCCTTTGTGGTCAGCATGTGGACAGAGTGCACTGTCAGCATCAGATTCCTTGAACTTCCTCTCCTAGATGTTCCTGCTGTGGGCTGGGGTCATGTGTCTGCCCCTGACTGCATCTGGCACTGGAATCCAGTTGTCAGCTGACTTTGTCATAGACTGCCTATGTGACTCCCCAAGGGGCGAGTCATTTCTCCTCCCCAGCCCTGCTTCCCTTCTTCGAAATGAGAGAGATAGATCATGGCAGCCACCACACGGGGCAGTTCCGGGGTAACTGTGTGTCATAGCAGGTGCACGTTTGCATTAGACAGATCCTAGTTTTTTGCTTTTTCCTTTATTTTGTAATTAATGAATTTTATTATTGGAATATAATTGCTTGACAATGTTGTGTTTCTGCTGTACAGCAAAGTTATCAGCTCCATGTATACATCTCTCCCCTCCAGCCCCAATCTCACCCTCTAGGTCATCACAGAGCAACCAGCTGAGCTCCCTGTGCGACCCAGCAGCTTCCCACCGGCTATCAGATCTTAGTTCTATTTTATTTCTTAAATTTAATTGTTAAAATTTATTTATTTATTGGCTGCTCTGGGTCTTTGTTGCTGCTTGGGCTTTCTCTATTGCAGTGTGTGGGCTTGTGGGCTTCTCATTGCAGTGGCTTCTTTTGTTGCACCGCATGGGTTCTAGGATGTATGGACTTCAGCGGTTGTACCACGGGGGCCTAGCTGCTCTGCCGCCTGTGGGATCCTCCTAGACCAGGGATCAGGTAATGAAAGCAAAGAGGAGGAGCCCCCAAATCACCTGTGGCTTCAGAGGCCATCGAGGGTATTGAGCTTTATTCCAAATGTGTTGAGAAGTCAGTGATTGTGGGGCAGGTGAATTACATGATCTGAATTTTCTCTTGCTTACTTTTTTGTTTTTAGCATCTTTATTAAAATGTAATTGATACATACTAAACTGCGCATATTAAAAATGTACAATATGCATTTTGACATAAGTGTACACCCACAAAGCCACCACATTGAGATAATGAACATCTCTATTAGTCTCAAAAGTTTCTCCATGTCCTTCTTGGTTTTTTTTTTCCATGTCCTTCTTTAATTCTTCACTCCTAACCTCCTCTCCCAGACAACCATCAATCTGCTTTCTGCCACTAAAGATGATTTGCATTTTCTAGAATATTTATCATATAGTATATAGTCTGGCTTCTTTCACTCAGCATGATAGTATTTCACTGTATTAATATACCACAATTTGTTTATCCAATCCCTGTTGAAGGACATTTGTGTCATATTCAGTCTTTGGCTATTACAAATACAACTGCTACGAACATTCATATTCAAGTCTTTGTGTGGATGTATGCTTTTCATTTCTCTTGGAAAATACCTAGTGCTGACACAGCTGGGTTGGATAGTAGGTGCATTTTTACTTATTTAAAAACTGCAAAATCATTTTCCAAAGTGGTTGCACCTGAATATTGTATGAAATTTCCACGTGCTCTACTTTTCCTTTGTTGTTTTATATTGTCAATCTTTTTAACTTTTAGCCCTTCCACTGTGTTTGTAGTGTTATGATAGCATCATTCATGTGTTTATTTGCCATCTGTTTATCTTCTTTGGTGAGGTGTCTTTCAAATTTTGTCACCCCCCCCTTCTTTTCCCCCTTGTTAAAAATAGAGTGATTTTACTTTTTACTGTTGAATTTTAAGAGCCATTTATTTACTTATAGGTTTCTCGTTGCAGTGGCTTCTCTTGTTGCAGAGCACAGGTTCTAGCTCAGGCTTCAGTAGCTGCAGCACATGGGTTCCATTGGTGTGGCTCACGCCGGTTTCAGAGCACAGGCTCCATAGTTGTGGCCCACAGGCCTAGCTGTTGAGCGTCATGGGGGGTCCTCGTGGACCAGGGACGGAATCCCTGTTCCCCACACTGGCAGGCAGATTCCTAACCACTGCACCACCAGGGTAGTTCCTTAGGAGTTATGTTCTAAAACAAAAACAAACAAAAAAAGACTTATGTTCTAGATGCAAGGCCCCTATTCAGTGCATTCAGTGTTTTGCAACTATTCTCTCCCAATTTGTCTCTTATTAAAATATATAATGGAAATTAAAAAAAAATTATTTATTTGGCTGCCTGAATCTTGGGCTTCTCAGGTGCCTCAGTGGTAAAGAACCCATTTGCCAATGCAGGAGATGCAGGAGACAGGGGTTCAACCTTGGAGGAGGAAATAGCAACACACTCTAGTATTCTTGCCTGGAAAATCCCATGGACAGAGGAGCCTGGGTCAGAGTGGCTGAGCGTGGACGCCTGGGTATTAGTTGCCACAGGTGGGATCTTTAGTTGCAGCATGTGGGATCTAGTTCTCTGACCAGGGATGGAACCTGGGGCCCCTGTATTGAGACCTCAGAGTCTTACTACTTTATATATAGTGATGCTTATTCATTCTATGGATAAAACTTGTACATGGCACAGTGATTATGAATGTGGTGTATGAGGTGAACTTCCGCATTTCAGGTCTTAACTCGCTTGCTATCTGTGTAAGCCATTTCTGTTTCCTTATCTGCAAAAGAGGCATAATTGTAATTTCCATACACAGGGTTATTTTGAAAACTAGCTGAGATAATCGAGCATAATGTACTTAGTAAGCACTCAGTAGTTTTTTTTATCGATTAGCCGAAGAGATAAGCCCGAACAAAGAATGCATTCTAATGAGTTCTGTAATCAGTCACCTCTTCCTTTTGGAAAGGAAGCCCGCCCCCAGATCCCTCCGCCGAAATCCTGCTCAGTCTACGCTCCTCGACGTGCTCTCAGGCGGTTTGAACCAAAATCCATGGCTCAGCTCACTGGGTTAAAAGTTAACTTCCCGATTTTGAAAGTCGGTGATATTTATGAGCTCCGTCCTGGGTTACTGGACGTTCACTGAGTGCTAAATGATGGCGGAGGAATCTCTTCGGATCCTGAAGAAATCACTTACACAAGTTTCCTACAACCGAGTGATATGAGTCCCACACGACACGCGATTGGGACTGCGAGTCAGACAGTCGGCCGCTCGCCGGGGGCGAACGAACTACAACTCCCATCATTCCGCGCAGTACGCTGCTCCAATCGTCAGGCACAGCTTCGAGGGGCGGGGCCTATATAAACCCCTTTCCGACTCACAGTTGTCCTTTTTCCCGGCAGCCGCGCGTAGGTCGTCTTCTGTGTCTTGGGTTCTCTGTCTGCAGTGGTCCACGCCCATCCTCCGCCATACCCGGTCTTAGCCTGGTTGCCACGGGCGCCGCACCTGCCGGGGCTGCCTCTAGAGGCGGCGGGATGTTGAGCGCGGCACGGAGGGTCCAGGCCTACTGGCCTAGTCGGGCCGAGATCCGGAAGGCCACGTGGTTCTCAGGCGCAGTGGAAGAAGCCGGACCCTCTGTGGGCCACGCCCTACTCCCGCCGCTGCCCTCGCGGCCCTGTGCTCCGGTGTGACGGGTGAGTAACATGGGCAGGCGGTCAGGTGTGCGGCGTTTCTGGGACTGAAGTGGCTTAAGTTAGGGGAGACCCCGTGGTGGGATCAGCCAGACCTTGAATACGCCTGTGACAGTTGCTCCGTGACCTTGGGCATGTTAACTTGCCTACCTTCTCCAAAATTATCTGGCTGCACAACACGTGATAAGGAAGTCACCCTGGTGGGTATAAGGACAAGGTTTTCTGGAGGACGGGCTATAGTCATTCAGATCCTATTTTGAATCCCAAGGTTGTCACTTTCTCCATTGATAGGGGACTTTGGCAAGTAACAAGTCTAAATCTGGTGTAAGACGGGGTTGATAAAACGATCCTGTGGCGATAAAATGAGACACACCACTGGCACATAGTAAAAGGTGGTGGTGATCAGAATTTATAGGATGTCTGTTTTCTTTTAGTTTCCAAAATGTCCCAGTAGATGAGTCCTGACATCTCACAGGATTTAGGTGAGTCTGAGGGCTGCAGTGTTGGGTCTGCACTGTGACCTAGATCCCCGTCCCCCCGTGGCCCTTATCGAAGCTGCCGCTGCTTCCATATAGCTGCTGTGGTCAAAAAGGAGCCCAAAGTGACAGTTTTCCTTGACGGTCGCCGTTCTGTTTGCTGTAACTGATCTGCAACATTTCAGGAAAAGACAGTTCCCATTGTACTTGCCATTTCTCAGGTACAACCAGAGACCTTTATTAGAATTGACAACGTTTTCAGAGGCCACCAGAAATGTTTCATTGGTGGGGTCTTACATGCAAGAATAAGGCTTTTGAGAAGTGGCTTGCAGAGGCCAAGAACCAGTATGGAGATGCACATATTGGGTGGGTTAGATACCTGTGCTGGGGAAATCCAGGGGCAAGTGGTGCAGAATGTGGCCATGCTGTGGGTCTTTGCCCTGAAAAGCTTGAGGCGTCAGTCTAAAGGCGAGTCAAAAACCTTGATTCTGAAAACCAGATGAATGGAAGGAGTAGGTCATTCAGGACAAGGCTGTTCTCATTTTAGTTGTGCCAGAAGATTCCAGGATGACTGAAGTTGACCTTTCTGGTGAGTGAAGAGGACATGACAGTGATGGAACACAAGCCTCAGGGCCTGGTAGGTTCTCTAAAGATGTAACTTAGGAGCCACCTAGTGGGTCAGCACAGCATGTTTCCAAGGGCTGTGGCTTCTTGTGGCCATGGGATCTCCAACTGCATGCGAGAGCAACATGGAGAGACTTTGACAGCACAGGTCAGCATAATACCTGCAGCTGCCACTCGCCTTTCCTATAATCTCTCAGGATTTGGGCTGGAAGTCTTCCACTTGAATCCATGTGTTCCCATCAAAATCACATTCTGTGTAGATTAGGTTTTTTGTTAGAGCTTCCACACTCTTTTTTGCAGATGACCCCCAGTTTTTTAACTGGCAGTGCCTGATACTGAAGTAACTGAACATATCAGCTTGTCGCTGGAGCCGTGCTTTCAGAATAAGGTAAAGTTGGGTATTGGAGACAGCCTGACCCTCCAGTTCCCTTTCCCATCGGATCTAAACTCTGGTCTCGGTGGTCGTAAGAGGAGGAACAGTAGTACTGAAACTGTGCTCGTCGTGTGTGCTGTATAGCATGTGGGCTAGTTTCAGACAAGGCTGAATTCTCTTGGAGCTTGTTTTCTCTGCCCCTTACAGTGGGGTAATTTTAGGCTTAAAGGGAAACTATATATGAAACTGGCAGTTGGTATAGTAATTGCTGGCTGAGATTTTTGTATTTGGGAAGGATATACCAATAGCTTTCTTGCCTCCTGATTGATATTTTTCTCCCCCTAAGACCTGTTGCCAGTAAAGCTGTCTTCATCTGTGTGGATCTACAGAGTTGGGTGAGTTGAATGTCTAGCTGAAGCTTTATCACAACTTCCATTTGTACTTAGCTTAAGACTGTAAATAGTGTAGCCAATAGATAAAGATACTCAGTGTGGAAAAGTTCTGTATTTATAGTGTATCACTTACATCTGGCTTTCCTCGGAAGCTGCATTTATTGGCTGTTCATAACCAGATGACAAAAAACGTTTACTTTGTGACTTGGTCTGCTAGATTTTGCCTGCACTAAGGCCAAGAGCACATCCAGAGAGTAGAATGTAGCAGCAGTTAGGTCTTTACCGCGAGGACTGAGGGCCGGCTGACTGCTGCTCGTGCTCAGTGGTTTTGGGTAGCCATGGAGTCACCCACCCCTCCTTTCAGAGTGGAAGACGATTGGGTAGTTCTGTCTAGCTTGGTATTTTTTCACCCTGTGACTGGTCTAGGATGAAACCTAATCTGAGTGGACATCTGTGGATGATAAATGCGGATATGGGACTGAGACCAGCTCTTGGGAAAACCTGGAGGGGCACGGATAAATTGGGGTGTTACTAACACACTGGCTTATACTTCCTTTTCAGGAGAGAAACAAAAGGCAAATGAAGAGACGGGGGGCGCTTTCAGGTGGAAACAGCTGTTTTGTTTTTGGTGATGCTGCTACCTGGCATATAAATGACCAATAAAAGATTGATGGTTGTATGTTTGTCAGTTTCTTGATGTTTTCAATTTATGGCTTGCTTATTCTCATTTAAATACTCCTTAAGACCCAGGATGAATTAAGAGTCTCAATCTCTGAAGATTGATCTCAGAAAGTGATAAAATGGATCACTTCTATAATTGCAATTATATTACTCTTGGTGAGTGAGAATTCAGGCTGAGCCCAAGACTGGTGCTTAATGATCTTTTGAAGGGTACATACTCTGCCACTCCTCAGGTCTACACAAAACTAGGGAAGCAATCTTTGGCATAATTTCAGGAGGGCCCTGGTCAATGGGATTTCCTATTTGGAAAACACAGCAGAGATGTGTGTGACAGTCATCAGGATGTGGTTTGGTGATGGTTGATAATCTCATAGGCTAGTTTTCTGAATTACCATTTCCTATATGTAAATAAGACTCATGCACTTGGCTTAATATAATTTATGTACTTACTTTAGTTTTAACATTTTCTTAAGAGGTGGCATTGGTACATACATGGCACCATTTGTACCTCAAACAGTCTAGGCCTTTTTGGTCTAAAATAAGCTGGTTCCAACACTGCTACCTTCCCAGGTGGCACAGTGGTAAGAGAATCTGCCTGCCAATACCGCGGAGGTGATTTGATGTCTGGGAGGGGGAAATCCCCTGAAAGAGGAAATGGCAATCTGCTCCAGTATTGCCTGAAAATTTTCATGGACAGAGAAGCCTGAACACTTTGACGATTCAAACTGAAATTTAAGTTGCTCATGGACTGTAGCCTTCCAGGCCCCTCTGTCCATGGGACTTACGGCTTGGGCTGCCATTTCCTTCTCCAGGGGATCTTCCTGACCCAGGGATCAAACCAGGGTCTCTGGCATTGCAAACAGATGCTGAGTCACCATTCAACCATTCAATGGGCCCTGCAATTTCACTCCCCAGTTCAAGTAATGAATTTCTAGCCACCAGATTTGAAGCAAATTTGTAGGGGGAAAGGAAACCTGAAGACAAGTAATTGCCCACCATTTGATACTATCCCAGCAGGTAATCACAACCTTAAATGTGAACTTTCCTAAGAAGTTGGCTTAGTAACTTACGACCCATCTTGGTTAATCATTATGTCCAGGAGTGTAGGTGACATCATCTGGATAAATGAGATTACTGTTCAAAGATAAACCTCATTCAACCCTCTTCCAACTGGTCCGTGGGTTCTCAAACTCAAATGAAGGCAGCAGTGTTAAAAGGAAAAATAATTGCAGGAACGGTTGATTACTAAAATCTTTATGAAACATTTAAAAAAAAAGTCTTGCAGTAATAAAAAAGGAGTCTCTTCTCTCCCTCACAAGTCCATTCTGGCTTGTCCTTTGTCCTGGCTATATCATGGCAGGGATCTCTGAAGACACTGTGTCTAGAGGCTGCCAGTGACAGTCCATCAGCGCATCATACAGCTCCTCGCTCTGCTCCATGAACTCCTTGTTGGCCTCGGTCACATCCAGCTGCGGCATGGGGTCTGGAAGAGAAGCAAGGGTGGGTTAAGGGGGCGCAGAGGGGAGCAGAACTCAGCAGCCATGGAAGACTCAGTTCCCTGCTCCGTCCTGCCTCACCGGGGCTGCCAGCACTGCTGCCTTTGTAGGGTTTGTGAGGAAGAGAAGAGGGTAGTGGACAGTTCAGCCTCAAACAGGACAGGATCCATTTGCATGTGGAGGTTTTCCAGAGTAAATGCTATAGTACTACACGATTCAACACTCGGCTGGCTGAATCCAAGAATGTGGAGGAATGGAGGATAGTGAAGGCTGACTACAGGTTACATGTGGACTTATGATTGAGGCTGGCAGGAGCCCCTAAGCCCTAGTTAATCAAGAAAAGAAAGTAGAAAGTGAAGTTGCTCAGTCGTGTCTGACTCTTTGTGACTCCATGGACTGTAGCCTGCCAGGCTCCTCCGTGGGATTCCCCAGGCAAGGACACTGGAGTGGGTTGCCATTTCCTTCACCAGGGGATCTTCCTGACTCAGGGATTGAACCAGGGTCTCCCGCATTGCAGGCAGACTCTTTACTATGGGCTTACTTGGTGGCTCCAACGGTAAAGTTAATCAAGGGGCTAACTCTAATTTTACAGAATGTAACACGTAATTAGTACTCAAGTAGTTTTGGCTGTCATTCCATGTTTATTAAACACTACACACACCTGTAGCTGTCACATGTCTCAGATTTTCTGGTGTGGTCCTTTTTTGAAATTTGGGTTTGGAAAACCTGATCAAGATTACTAAATCAAGAACAATGAATGTCTAATGAAAGAGCTAGAGTCAAATACACAAGCTGAAACACCAAGTTCTGTATTTTTATATATATTTTTTCTTGAACGCAATAGTGGTATTTGTTCACCAGAAACCATGACAAAATACCAAACAGCTTCCTTTTAAACCTCTAACAAGAAAACTATTCTTAGAAGGGAATATTACTGAGCACTAAAAATGAACCTCCGTTGCATCCAACTTGGCTGAATCTCACAAATAAAATACTGAATGAAAGAAGCAAGACAGTATATACAGCACAGCATTAAAGTTCAAAAACAGGCAAAACTAAACCCTGCTATTTAGGGGTATATATCTGTGTGATACAACTATAAAGAGAAGGAAGTTTTGTCACTACAAAACAGTACAGTAGGGACTTCCTTGGTGGTCCAGTAGCTAAGACTGCACTCCCAAGCCTTTGACTGTGTAGACTGCAACCAACTGTGGAAAATTCTTCAAGAGATGGGAACACCAGACCACCTGACCTGCCTCCTGAGAAATCTGTATGCAGGTCAAGAAGCAACAGTTACAACAGGACATGAAACAACAGATTGGTTCCAAATTTGTAAAGAAGTAAGTCAAGGCTGTATACTGTTACCCTTCTTGTTTAACTTATATGCAGAGTACATCATGAGAAATGCCGGGCTGGATGATGCACAAGCTGGAATCAAGATTGCTGGGAGAAATATCAATAACCTCAGATACGCAGATGACACCACCCTTATGGCAGAAGGTGAAGAGGAACTAAAGAGCCTCTTGATGAAAGTGAAAGAGAGTGAAAAAGTTGGCTTAAAGCTCAACATTCAGAAAACTAAGATCATGGCATCTGGTCCCATCACTCCATAGCAAATAGATGGGGAAACAATGGAAACAGTGACAGATTTTCTTGGCTTGGGCTCCAAAATCACTGCAGATGGTGACTGCAGCCATGAAATCAAAAGATGCTTGCTCCTTGGAAGAAAAGCTATGACCAACCTACACAGCCTATTAAAAAGCAAAGACATTACTTTGCCAACAAAGGCCTGTCTAGTCAAATGCATGGTTTTTCCAATAGTTACGTATGGATGTGAGAGTTGAATTATAATGAAAGCTGAGCACCAAAGAATTGATGCTTTTCAACTGTGGTGTTGGAGAAGACTCTTGAGAGTCCCTTGGACTGCAAGGAGATCCAACCAGTCAGTCCTAAAGGAAATCAGTCCTGAATACTCTTTGGAAGGACTGATGCTGGAGCTCCAATACTTTAGCCACCTGATGCAAAGAACTGACTCACTGGAAAAGACCCTGATGCTGGGAAAGACTGAAGGCAGGAGGAAAAGGGGATGAGAGGATGAGACAGTTGGATGGCATCACCAACTCAATGGAAATGAGTCTGAGCAAGCTCTGGGAGTTGGTGATGGATAGGGAAGCCTGGTGTGCTGCAGTCCATGGGGTCGCAGAGTTGGGCACAACTGAGCGACTGAACTCCCAATGCAGGGGACCCTGGTTCAATCTCTGGTCAGTGAACTAGATTCCACATGCCACAACTAAACATCGTGCATGCTGCAACTGCTGCCGCTAAGACCTGGTGCAGCCAAATAAATAAGACCCCATGAACTGCAGCACCCTAGGCTTCCCTGGCCTTCACCATTTCCCTGAGTTTGCTCAAACTCATGTCTATTGAGTCAGTGATGCCAACCAACCATCTCATCCTCTGCTGCCCACTTCTGCTCTCAATATTTCCCAGCATCAGGGTCTTTTCCAATGTGTTGGCTCTTATCAGGTGGTTAAAGTCTTGGAGCTTCAGCATCAGTCCTTCCAATGAGTATTCAGGGTTGATTTACTTTAGGACTGAGTGGTTTAATTTCCTGGCTGTCTCAGGGACTCTCAAGAGTCTTGTCCAGCACCACAGTTTGAAAGCATCAATTCTTCGGCATTCTGCCTTCTTTATGGTCCAAGTCTCACATTCATACATGACTACAGGAAAAACCATGGCTTTGACTATATAGACCTTTGTCAGCAAAGTGACATCTTTGCTTTTTTAACACACAGCCTAGGTCTGTCATAGCTTTCCTTCCAAGAAGCAATCTTCTAATTCCATGGCTGCAGTCACCATCCACAGTGATTTTAGAGCTCAAGAAAAGGAAATCTGTCACTGATTCCACTTTTTCCCCTTCCATTTGCCATGAAGTGGCAATCTGACATCAAAGCTACTATGATAGCCAAAATGAAAAATAGTAACTGTTGGTGAGAATGTGGAGAAATGGAAATGCTCCAAGCCTTTTTGGACAGGTCTGGCCATTTCTCAAATGGTTAAATAGAGTTTACTATATGATCCAGCAATACACTCCCAGATATACACTGAAGAATACTGAAAACTTTTCCCTGAAAACCTCTCTATGTCCACACAAAAACTTATACATGTATGTTCATAAAAATATTATTTACAACAATGAAAATGGACACAATCCAAATGTCCATCAACTAAATGGATATCCACAGAATGGAATATTATTCAACCATAAAAAGAAAGGAATGACAAATGCTATAACACAGAGAAATCAGAGGTTAAATCAGAGAGGCCATTCACAAAGGACCACATATCATACATGACTCCATTTATCTAGAATGTTCAGGATACGTAAATCCAAAGTAGGGGAGTGGTTGCCAGGGACAGGATATTGGAGTGACTGCTAGTGGTTTCACAGATTCTTCACTGGAATTAAACAGTGGTAATGGCTGCACAACTTTGCGGCTATTTTTAAAAACTACTGCACACTTTAAAAGGGTGAATTTTATGTTATGTGAGTTACACCCTCCAAATAAAAACCAAAGAACCTAACTGAGTTCTTACTGTATATCCTATTGTATTTCAGGACTTGTTTCATTGAGAACATTTCTCTACATCAATATTCTTAGAAAAAGATATAATTTGTTATTTTTTTTTAGAAAAAGACATAATTTAATAAAACAAAAAATCTAATTAAAATTTTACCAGTATTTAATACATCTATTATTAGATATTTATCTGTATTGATATCATTGTGGGATAAAATCTTTCAGGTAAAACTGATTTCATGCATATGAACATTTTAAGAATTCTTTGTAGAAAGAATAGTATATTTTAATTTGTATTTAAGTACTAGTATTAGCAGTGTGATGGTTACATTTTGTGTCAATTTGGTCAGGGTAGTGGTGACCAGTTGTTTGGTGAAACACCAGTCTAGATAAAGATATTCTGTAGATGTGATTCACATCTACAATCAGTTGACTTTAAGTAAAGGTGATTATTCTCAATAATGTGGGTGGGCCTTAGCCAATCAATTAAAGGCCTTAAACTGAGGATTCCCAAAGTAGGAATTCTACCTCTAGGTGCTAATACAGAAATCCTGCCTGAGCCTCCAGCTTGCTGAAGCATAGCACAGATTATAAATACATATATCCTTTCAGCTCTATTTCTCTGGAGAATCTTGACTAACACAAATAGTATATGCTTAAATTCTTTTCTCTTGTGGTTTATAGGCCATTTGTGCTTCTTTTGTAAGCTGTTTCCAACTTTCTCAGGCACTTGTAAGAATCAGTCAGTCAGTAATCAACCAATCAGTGGTGAATCTTTTCACCCATTGCAGGTGCCCATTCCTGCAACCAGAGGAATCCCTCTTGTAATTCTAATCTAAATTATGAGTTGAAGTTTTGAGCATGTCCAGCAAGCGGCTCCATAAGGGAACTCCAGGAAAGCAGAGCATGACCAGTCTGGCCACTCCACTCAGTGCTGGTAATGGCATATGGCAACAGATTAGCAAAAGCCTCCAGCAAGGGCAAGCATTTTTGCTGCTGCTGTGTTTCGTCTTGGGTGTTTCTAGCCGAGCCACGCAGCTCTAGGGGTCTCAGTTCCTTGACCAGGGACTGAACCCAGGCCATGGTGGTGAAAGCACCCGGCACTGGACCGCCAGCGAATTCCCAAGGACACATATTTGGATGTGCAGATGTCTACGGACGCACGAACAGTATAGCATCCTTCCTCACTTGGGTGACAGGGCCTGGAAGTTGGCCTGCTGATCCCAAGGCACAGAAGAAGGACGACACACCCTCCTGGGCCCTGTTTCTGTGTGGCTATTAGGTTAAAATGGGAGGTGTTAGGGACTTCCCTGGTAGTCCAGTGGTTAGGGCTCCATGCTTTCACTGCCAAAGGTATGGGCTCAATCCCCAATTGGGGAACTAAGATCCGGCCACCAAAAAAAAAGAGGGAGGCATTATAACTGTGGTAAAGGGTCTGAAGTCTGGGGCAAGACTGCAGGGTTCCAAGACAGTCTACCTCTTGCTACGATGTTGCAACTATGCTGACCTTGAACAGAAAATCTAATTTGCTTTCTCTTCTGTAAAATCAAGATAATTAAGGTACTTACCTCAAAACCATTGTGAATGTCAAATGAGTTAATACCTGTAAAAGTGCTTAGAACAGTGCCCTGTACATAGTAAAACCTGTCAGCTATTAACTATTTAAGCTTCAGTTTTCTTTTCTGTAGAATGGGATTTATAAAGGAACCTATTCATCAAAGTGCTGATAGGCAGCAGTGCCTGCAAAACTACTGTAGTAGTGTTGGCTATAATAATGGATGATGAAGAAATAGAAAAACTCTAAGGAGTTACACACAAATATTGTTATAATCAGGATAATTTCTCTAAAAAGGAGGCAGTGCTTCCTGCAAGAAAAGGCAAGAGACTAAGGACAGAAAGACAGGGACTCCAGGTTGAACCCTGCTCCTAACTCACTGGGTGACCCTGAGAAGACCACGTGGATCTCCAGCTCACCATCCCTCTACTGGAGCTCCGTGTCTGCCCAGCCCACCCCTACGGTCACTGCTGCCAGAATCAGATGACAACATGTTCAGTGAAGTGCTTTAAAATGCTATGAAATTTGTTTTATGCCTACAGATGATGTTTCCTTTAAAGGATATTTTGCTTACAGATCACATTTTCCCTATGACCTTCTCTTAAAGAATAATTCTTAAAACAGACAAGATTTTAAACTTGGGAGTCTTTTTGTACCTTAAAATAAAGCCTTATGTACTTAGAAATCGATGTCTGATTTTATTTTACTTCTTTAAACCTTAAACCTAACATTCTGTTCGGAAATATGTTGAGAAAAATTTTAAAAAAAAATTTTTTTTAAATAATTTTCTCAAACCTTAGACTCCTTTAAAAGTATGAATATCTCATTTGAAAAAATATTTGTCTGAAGGTCAGCAATTACTTTGTCTTTACTTTTTCTTTTGTTAAATTCAGTAAAAAATCATAACACACACTTTTAATTTTAAATAAGCAATAATGGCTATTACCACGTAGTGAAACTGGGGGGTGATTTTTAGTTTCTTCCTTATACTTTACTGTATTTTCCAAACTTTCAATCATAACTATTACTTGAAAGTGAGGAAAATATGTCATTTAAGATATATGGGGGGGAGTTCCTTGGTGGTCCAGTGGTTAAGAATCTGCCTTCCTACAATGCAGGGGTCTCCAGTTCAATCCCCGGTCAGGGAGCTAAGATTCCACATGCTGCAGGGGAGCTAAGCCCACATGACAACTACAGAGTCTGCACGCTCTAGAGCCTGTGCTCTGCAACTACAGAAAGACTGCTGCGATAGGCAACAAGGACTCAGCGGAGCTTAAAAAAAAGTGTGGAAAAAAATCAAAACGTGAAATTAAAAAGATTATTTTACACGATTCTGACAAACTGTGAAACAGATATAAGGCAACGGAGTTTTTGGTTCAGACCTATATCCTAGGGTAGAACACCACGTGTCCAAGGAACCCTGGGCTCCCTCCTCTGTTGCTCCCCAGGGAGATCTGGGATCCGTACTTCCCACTCAGGTGACATTCACATCTCACACAGAGTGAAGGGAGTCCTTTCTTACCTTCCAATGCATCATCTCCGACTTCTTCATACGTCTGCCAAGAGACCAGAGAGGTGGGTGAGAAGCACGGTGAAAGCCTAGCCCATGACTAGGATGGCTTCTTTTTAATAAGAGGAATTACGCTGCTTCATCTTTTCCTCTGTCTTTCTGAAGCACAAGCTCCTGTCCTTAACCACCCCATCCTGGAGAATCACCCACGTCTCTAGAGGATGCGGGGCCAGACTGGCCAAATCATGGTTACCTGCATGGTGCTCTGGGTGTAGCCATACTGGGGATAACTATAGCTGTAGCTGCCTGTGTTCTGGTCATAGCCCCACTGGGCGTAGTAGTTCTGGTACTGCTGGTAATACTGGTTGTAGCTATAACTGTACATTTGACTATATTCCACTGGCTTCACACGGCTCCTTAAAGGAAGAAAGAAAAATAAACAAACAAATCAGCAAACGTTTCCATAATACGATATGACCGGGACTGTTCTGAGCGCTTTACACAGACTAACTTGTTTAATCCCCACAATGGTGCTATACAGTAAATATATAATTAATCCTATTTCACAGATGAGAAAACTGAGGTACAGAGAGATTACATCATTTGTCTGAAGTCACACAGTGAATAAGAGATTCAAACCCAGGCAGTCTGGTCCCAGAAACCAGCTTTAAAGATAGGAGCTTTTGGGAATTCCCAGGTGGTCCAATGGTTGGGACTCTGCACTTTAAGTTCCATGGGCCCAGGTTCAATCCCTGATCAGGGTACTGGGATCCTGTGAGCCAGATAGCATGGCCAAATTAAAAAAAAAAAAAGGCGCTTTCAGTGGTTAGGTTTGTCTCCCTTACAAACTCTATTAGTACTGACTTTTCCCCTTCTCAAGATCTTGGGGGGCTGTTTTTCTGCCAGCCACAAAGGCTCAGTCAGGTAAACATGGCCTGGATAATCTGGATATAGAATGATCTAAGGAGCATTTTCAAATTACAAAATATCTTATCACCTTTTCCATGTAAAACATAAGGTTAAGTGTTTCAGGAGCCTGGAACTGTAGTCAGAGATACCATTTGTGGAGTAGGTACTTGGGATTTGTGCCCATTCTTTTTCATATATGGTCTCCTACTTTAAGTCTGGCACAGCTCTACGACAGAGCTATTATTTATTATTCCCTCTGTAAATATGAGAACAGACCTTCTGAGTGGTTAACTGATTTACCCAAGACTACACAGAGGACTGGAGCCAAATTTTAACTCCAAGCCTTGCACCCCTACCACAACACGGTTCATACAGCACCTGCCCTGCAGATTCAAGTCTCCCGTCCATCTCCCCTTTCCTGCATTCACCAATCAGGGCTGAGGCCCAAGGTCAACAGAAAGCCGCATTCTCTGATTCCACAGCTACCCCAGTCACTGCTAACCAAAGAAAATGTCAAGCCTGCAAAAGATCCACTGCTTTCAAAATCTTAAAAAAACCACAGGTGATGAGCTCTTCCCAAGTTCCCCGTGTGCTCAATGTCGGCTTGGTGAGCTCTCAGCCAGAGCAGTTAGGCTGCATCTGACTGCCTTAGCATCACCTCCCGATGGAGCGGCTCAATGAAGTCTGATGGCAGAGATTTCCTCTCCCTGCCCATTGCCAGGCTGAAAACTGCTAATGTTTGTCTCCATGGCCCTACCCCCCTGACCCATGTGTCCAAGGAGTCTACCACCCCCATGACAAGTTCAGATCACTGAAGGTACAGGGCCTGGGTCTACACATTTCTGTTTCTCCACACTTGCCTCGTACAAGTCTGACTCTCAAAGGAAACTCTTATCACTCAATTCTTAGTGCATGAGGGCACCTCCCCAGAGGCAGGCATCAAATGCTGACAACAATGCTCAATGAAGAAACAGATGTAACAGCTCTGTAGAAGGGACTTCGTTTTTCTTGTTTATAACTACAACTTCAAAGTCTAGGGTGGGGCTACGGTTGCAGGGACTCAGTTATCACTGACTGAATAAATGATGACACAGCAGAAAACACCAAAACAGTAAACATCAGAGGAACTGCTAGACAGAATATGCGATCAAAAGAATATTCTGCAGCTATTAAAAATGTTGTAATGACGACAACTACGCAACTCTATGGCAAAGTGAGTGTGTATACTGAGTAAACCGGGGAAGCGAAAGAGTGAGCATTGCTATTGTGTTAAAAATGAATAAAGCGATGAATCTAACATGTAAACTGACCCATATGCATGTAGCATGTGTGTATCTACATCAATATCTACATTTATACGGAACAGAAGCTTACGGAAAAGCCTGAAAAGGAACCCAGAAATTATAAGCAATCATTTAGAGTAATGAGGAACATTCTTTTCAATGTTTTCTTTAACGTTTTTACATATACAGTAGAGTTTAGAACAAATAACATTTGGAGGGGAGAATTGCTGCGGCTAAACTGAAGAGAGCCTCCAAATCTTTTGCTGTCTTAAAAAACACGGCCACCTGAAAGTTCTGCCCGAAGAGTATAACCACCTGTATACTTTAACACGAAGTTTCTCAGCCTTAGTAAAACTGACGTTTGGGGGACAGAGGAGACCATTCTTTGTTCCGGGAGCTGACCTGTGCACTGTAGGATGTTTAGTAGCATACCTGGCCTGTATTCATTAGATTCCAGAGGCTGCCCTCTCCCAGTATGGGATGTGACAATCAAATTTATCTTCAGGTGTTGCCAATGTCCTCAAGTTTAGAACCACTGTTTGGGCCAAAGGATGGAAGATTCTATGCAGAGAAAAACTGTCTTATATCTGAGTATAAAACATGCTAGGATATGCATGGGAAGAAGGGTTTTTTGCCCAGAGTGACAGGTACAATAGTGATGTATATAATATTCTATCCTGCTTGTATCATTATTTTTCTTTAGGCCACAAGGTGTGGCTTGTGGCAATTTCCTATATCATATTCCCTATATCATTAATTCTTAGCCACTCCCATAGCAAGGGGGACTCAGAGGTTTGTATGTTTCAACAGCAGCTCTACTGGGCAAAGAGCACACAAACTAAGTTTGCAGAGCCCAATTGCTTTTCCAGCATTGCTATAGCAATTCTGAATGTGCCTGCCTCCCCCAGTCATAGCTCTCTCCTCAGCCGTAAGCTTCTGCAGGGGCAACAGCGATGCTGGCTCATCTCCAGCCCCCAGCCTGGCAAATACCAGGCACTCATTATTTGTGGCCTGCACTGAGTCTTCTGGCAGCCTCCCAATCAGCAAGCGGATGCCCTGATTATCAGCAACCGACAAGGCATGTCTCGGTTCCCACGCCAGCGCAGGACTCACGCTTTGGGGATGGCCACGCTCAGCCGCACTGGTTTAGACCCCAGTCCTATGGCTCCCTGGCACTCTGTCAGGGCTCGCTTCTGTTCCAGCTCATCTGTGAATTTCACAAAACCATAACCCCTGCAGGAAAAAGACACACACATACACACGCATGATTTAGATCACAAATGTGATGCAGGTAAAAGCAAAGAACGGAAAAGAAGCTGAGAAGGGAGAGAGCGCCCATCAAACCACGTGGGCAGGCCTGAGCGCCCCATGAAACAGGGGTGTCACAGAGCAGCGTGAGACCCCAGCACTGGAGGATCCCAATTCCAGTTCACCCATCTCCTCCATGCCATCCTGATGGGGCTTCTCCCCAAACAGGAGTTTCCCTCCCAATCTACTGCGAAGTATTATCATTATTATTACTACAGTAGAAGCAGTAACAGTCACAGAAGGCCAAGTATTTATAGAGCCTGCCCTGCTGCCAGGTGCTACCCAAGGCACTGGGACTCAGCAGTCTCAAGCAGACAAGGCTCCTGATCTCCTGAACTCATATCCCACTTGAGGCTAAATGAATGACATTTAACATTTAATGACCACTTTTTATTTCCCAGGCACTATGCTGAATATTTTCCCAGAGTTATCTCAATAAACTGTCCAACAACTTGATGAAGGGAGTATCCACATCTTATTGAAGGTAAAACCAAACTTCAAAGATGTTTAATGACTTGCCCAAAATCATACCAGAAACAGAATTCAAAGTCCAAGCTCATAACTACTACTTAGATCAAAAAGGAATTTTTCCCAACATATATCATATGATCTCACGTATGCGTGGAATCTAAAATATGATATAAATGAACTTACTTACAAAACAGAAAGAGACTAACAGACACAGAAAACAAATTTATGGTTATCAAAGGTATAAGAGGGTAAAAAGGGATAAATTAGGAGGAGTTTGAGATTAGCCAATGTAAACTACTATAGATAAACAAGGTCCTACTGTATAGCACAGGGGAACTATATATATTCAATATTCTGTAATAAAAAAAAAATTCTGTAATAAACCAGAATGGAGAAAAAATATATATATATAAACCCTTCTTGAGATGTTTCTACTTTTCTTTTTTTTTCAAATTTATTTTTTTTTAATGTTTCTACTTTTAAAGTACCAATACTAAAAAAGGAAATACCTATAAAGCATTTTCTATTGATTTATTTACATTCCATCATTTCATCCTTACACCAACCCCCATGAGATGCATATACTATTAATCAGTCCCATTTCACAGATGAGGAAACAGGGGCAGAGGTTCAGTAACTTGTCTGTTGCATAATCCCTGGGAAGTACTGAGGCTGGGATTTGTACCAGGCGGTTTGGCTCCAGAGCCTGAGCTCTTCACCACCATGTAACATGGCCTCCTTACCACACCCTCAGCTATGAGATACATGCTGCAACCAACAGGGTAGGCATCAATAAGAGTAAGGCCTTACTTAGACACGCCTGTCTGGTCCAAAACCACCTTGCCTCCCCGACAGGAGGGGTAGACTTTGACGAAGAACTCATACAGCATGCCATCATCCACATCTGGGGTCAGATCCCCCACAAAGAGGGAGTATTCAGGGCTGAGAAGAGAGAACGAGATTCAGACACAAAGAAGAGAACTTCTGCTCTTGTGAGCTCTCTTGGCCCATTCTAGATAAACCTCTTCTGTGCCACGTCAGAGAACAACACATCTAATGGATTCTTAACCTAGTCCTAATTTGTTTCATTTGGCAGTCCTGGCAGAAGAGTTACGGAAGGAGTGTCCTGCCCCAAGTCCCTCACCCACTGAACAAAGCCTGTCTGGCTTCAAGCATTACATGAGTGCAGACGAGGGAGCAAGTCAGAGATGCTCAAAAGATAAAGCCAGAGATTCTGCATTCATTGCATACTTTTAATCCAAATGGTGAAAGTACAGGGAGCATGAGAACTGAACCTTCTCTCCTAGAGATGGGCTAACATGAAATCCCTCAACTTTCAGGACAGGATCAGCAAAATTTTCTGTGAAGGCCATACAGTAACTACTGTAGGCTCTCTGGGGGCAACTCTGATTTCTGCTGTCTTCTGTGTGTTGACACACACAACCCTTTAAAAATGAAAGGGGGGCCAGGGGGCCTTCCCTGGTGGCCCAGTAGTTAAGTTACTTAAGTAGTTAAGGTGGTCCACTTTCATTGCAGGGGGCATAGAATCGATTCCTGGTCAGGGAGCTAAGACCCCAAAAACAGAGCAGCATGGCCAAATAAATAATAAATAATTCAAACTACAGAGGGAATTTCCTGGCGGTCCAGTGGTTATGGCTCTGTGCTCTCACTGCCGACGGCCCAGGTTTAATCCCTGGTTGGGTAACTAGGATCCTGCAAACCGTGAGGCGCCACCAAAAAAAAAGGTAAAAACCATTTTTAGCTTTCAGGTAATAACAAACTTAGGCCACAGTTTGCCAACCCCTGTAATAGAACAATAAACTCATTATTATTTTATTTCAAGTACACCTTGCATAAGATCAGAATATATAAAAGGACAAAGAAAAATAAAATACCACTAACCCAACTCAAAGAAAATCACCATGAACACCTTGATATGCATTTCTGTAGTTTTGCTTTAGCTTCTTCCTTTGAATTTACAAAAACTGGATACAACTCATTTGTTTCTAGCATTTTTTTCACTTACAGCATCTCACCAACATCTTGACATGTGAGTGTTCTGCTACAACATGACACGTTAATGGATACACAACATTCCAAAAAATGAACATATTGTAACTTACACCACTTTCCTATTATTAGATTACTTGGATTTTCCCCTAATTTTGCCCATTATATGTAGTAGCTCAATGAACATTTTCTCTTTTTTTAAAAAAAACTTTTACTGTAGTTGATATACAATGCTGTGCTAACTTTAGGTGTACAGCAAAGTGAACCAGTTTATACACATATCCACTTTTTTAATATTCTTTTCCCATATAAGCCATTACAGGGTATCGAATAGAGCTCCCTATGCTATACAGTAGGTCCTAATTAGCTGCCTGTTTTATATATACTAGTGTGTACAAGTCAATCCCAACTTCCCAATTTCTTCACTGCGTCCCCTTATCCTCTGGTAATCATAAGCTTGTTTTCTACATCTGTGGCTCTATTTCTGTTTCATAAGTAAGTTCTTTTTTAAGATTCCACATATAAGTGATATTACATGATATCAACAAACATTTTCAAGGCTAATCTTTACACATGTGTGCTAAGTCACTTCAGTCATGTCCAACTCTGTGCATTTCTATGGACTGTGTAGCCCACCAGGCTTCTCTGTCCATGGGATTCTCCAGGCAAGAATACTGGAGTGGGTTGCCACACCCTCCTCCAGATCTTCCCAACCCAAGGATCAAACCCGCATCTCTTATGTCTCCTGCATTGGCAGGCGGGTTCCTTACCACTAGTGCCACCTAGGAATAATCTTTACACAGATCCATGAATAAATTCTGAAAAACAGAATTATGGGTTCAAAGGGTATAAATCTATCTAAAGCTTTTGATACAATGTTCTCCAGCTTTCAAACAGCAATCTGAAATGCTTGATACATTTACGTTGCTACAGCAATTCTTACTGGATAAAATGTCATTACCGTGGGCAGTCAAGGGACTATGAGAGGGAGCAAATACAGAGAAGATAAGGGCCTTGACATAAGCAACCTGGAAGTATTCCCCACCAGGGATGAGAGGGGTTGGCGTTCAGGAGGGAAGCAAACTGGGGTCAAACTCAGCTCCCCATCCTCCTCTCTGGAAGTGACTAGCGCAGTGAATACATCTTGTCTCTATTTAGACATTTCCCAGGACTTGAAGCTACCTTGTGGCTACTCTCTACTTACCTGTTATCTGGCTGTTTCCCATAAGTGGCGTAATTCAGTTTAAAACGCTTTGCCTGAAAATTTAAAAACAAACAAACTAAAACAGAGAAAGGTGTTTCAAGAATCAACAATTTTTGGAAAAAAACTGAAATAAATTACCTTGGCCAAAACATCTCCCCCTCTCTAAGCCTCAGCCTTTTCTCCTGTTTAAAAGGAGGGGGATGCACGGATGACCGCTAAGGGCACTGCCAGCTCCATGGTTCTATGAGCCCAGGTGTGCCAGCGTGGTGCAGCTGTAAGCTAAGTAACTGTGGGAAGAGCAGAATGCAACTCTCTTGAAACGTGTCCTCACAGCTGCCAGCCTGTTCTACTTTGTCAATCAAGCAAGAGGTCTAGAGGTTCAAATCTTCTGTGAAGGGAGGCAGCGGTGCGGAGTGGATAGGGCATGGGTTTTAGAGGCAACCAATCTTCCGTCTGCATCCTGGCTTTGCCACTTACTACCTGTGTTGCCTTGGGCAAGTTATTCCATCTCCCTGAGCTTCAGTTTCCTGGTCTGTCAAAGATAACAATGCCTACTGTTTAGGGTTGTTATAGGATTAAATAAAAGATATGGTAGGGATTCAATAAACAAGTTATCCCTGGTAACACAAACGGCAACATTATCATTATCTAAGTGTCCTTACAGGTGTGGCTCCTGGAAGGGGCTTTCCGTTGATTTTATGCAAACACTTCTCAGCTGTGGCCAAATCTGCGAATTCTACAAAGCAGTAGCCAGCCGGGATCCTGCAGAGAAAACAGAAAAAGTGAATGGTTAAAGATCTGACACCCAGGGACTTTGATAGGGATTGTGTGGCTAAGGCTCCAGGCTTCCAATGCAGGGGGCCTGGGTTCCATCCCTGGTCAGAGAACTAGATCCCATATACCGCAACTAAGTATTTACATGCAGCTACTAAAACCAGGTACAGCCAAATAAATAATTATTTAAAAAAAGAAGGGGTGAGGGAAGGTTCAAGAGGGAGGGGAGATAGGATATATGTTTAATTATGGCTGATTCAAGTTGTTGTATAGCAGAAACCAACAAAACACTAAAGCAATTTTCCTCCAATTTAAAAAAAGAGTAATTCAAGCTTTCACAGACAGACAGACAGACACACACACACACACACACAAGATGTGATACCTAGATGAGAGACTAAGTCTGGGCTAGAGAGCAGGAAAAAATGTTTTTCCCATGACAGCCCATATTATTGTTCCATGCTGTACTCCAGTTCAGAATTTATAGACCTGAGTATATAAGTACTGCCAATCCAGTCCAGTACCAGATTTATGTAGTAAATCATTTATATATTGTAGCACCTATGAGTATATTATACATTCATAGGTGTTTTATTTATATTTTGTATATTTACATATTGTAACACCTATGAATAACTCTTGTCAAAAATGTTTCCTGGGACTTCCCTAGTGGTCCACTGGCTAAACTCCAAGCTCCCAAGCCAGAGAGCATGGGTTCCATCCCTGGTCAGGGAACTAGATCCTGCTTGCTGTAACTAAGAGTTTGTATGCCACAACTAACGATCCTGCACAACCGAAGACTGAAGATCTCGTGTGTCCTATAAGACCTGGCACAGCCGGAAAAAAAAAAACTTCTATGCAACCCAAGCAAACCTTCAGATCTAATGTCCGGCTTATAGGAACTATTAGGAACAGAACAAGTAAAACACTACAACAAGGAAACAAATAAATCCAGAATGGAGGACCAGAATCCAGAATGTAGAACCTAATGTAAGACAATCTTACCTCTTCAAAAAGTCATTATTCTGAGAAAAGAAAGAAGTGGGCATTTCTACATTAAAAAGAGACAAATGCAATATAGGATCTGATCTCTGACTGGATCCTAATTCATTAAGAAACAATATTCAAATATTTAGAAATGTCATGATGCCTATAATTTACTTTCTTGTGGTTCGGCAAAAATAAAACATCTACATACCTAAATCTCTACAGACACGTAGATAAGGAGAATACAGCAACATATTAACAATTTTTGAAATGAGGTGGTAGTTATATGAGTGTACATTGCACTCTTTGTAAATTTAAATTTTTCATGATTTAAAAAGTTTTTTTGATCACCTACCACCATCCAGGCAGATACAGAGTTGAAGAACATGGTACCTGACCTTAAGAGACTTAAAATCTAGTTGAACAAAGTAAATCCACAGACCAGGCCTAATTGGGGGGATATCTGTAAGATTCCTGGTGGTCTATTTTTAAAGCATCACTAAGGGACGTAAGTAGGTAGATGTGGCTAGATCCTCTGATATTCCTTCCTCCTAAGAGATTTATACTGAAAAGTTTTCCTTAACAGCATTCTTAAATCTATCACCAGTGAAATAAATCAGACTTTTCTGGAACTAAGATACTCGGTTGAAATAACCTTATGGACACCAAGCCAAAAGGTATGGGCAAGGGAAGTACCGGAGCCCAGGGATCTAAGAACACAGTCTGCTGCTGCTGCTGCTGCTAAGTCACGTCAGTCGTGTCCAACTCTGTGCGACCCCATAGACAGCAGCCCACTGGGCTCCTCTGTCCCTGGGATTCTCCAGGCAAGAGCACTGGAGTGGGTTACCACTGCCTTCTCCGAACACAGTCTATGAGCTTCATAAATGTCAATGCTTAGAAGAACGGTGGGGCAAACCTGTGTCTTCTATCTTGTGTGTGCTAGAATCTTAAGCCGATGTACAGACCACCACCAGTAAGAGCTGACCGTTACTGAGCAGTCACTACAGGCCAAGCACTGTGTTCACCACTTCACACACACCATCTCATCTCAGCCTCACAGAACAACTCCATGAGGGAAGCAAACTACTGCTCCCATTTAGATGTGGAGACTGAGACTCAGGATTGTATAATACGCCTTAAACCACACAGCTGGTACCTGCCAAAGGTTGGACTTGAGTTCAGGTTAATCTGACTATATTCTTTCCTCAGCAATTTATTATGAAAAATTCCAAACATAAAAATTGAAAGAGCTGCCAAACACTCATATATATATATATACCCACTTTCTTTTTAATATTTACTTTACCAAGTGACAATCCATCCATCCACGTCCTTACCTATTAATCACCCTTATTTTCTTTTTTTTGTTGATTTTTTTTTAAATAATGAAAGTATGACAACACATTTATAGGAGACTTGAAAAATACAGATATCATCCTCATTTTCTGACACATTTCAAAGTAAGTTGCAGATATTGGTACACTTTTCTCAATTATTTTAACATGCTTATTATTAACTAGAGTTCAATTACTGTGTACAGTTTTGTCCTTCTAAGTTACATACAATGAAATGCACAAATTCTTCTAGATGCTGAGTTATTTCCACCACAGATTAATTTTGTGTATTTTAGAAATGACTCAGTGAAAAAAATCCTGATGCTGGGAAAGACTGAAGACAAAAGGAAAAGAGGGTGTCAGAGGATAAGATGGCAAGATAGCATCACCGACTCAAAGGACATGAACTTAAGGAAACTCCGGAAATTGTATGTCATATACTGTATACGTATACCATACATATACATAAACTGTATGTGTACACCAGTCATATACTGTATGTCTATACCAGTATTTATATATTTACCTATTCATGGACACCTGGACTGCAGTTTGGGGACATTGTCCAATGTGCTATGGGGCTTGCCAGACGGCAGAGTGGTAAAGAATCCGCCTGCCAATGCAGGAGATGCAAGAGATACAGGTTCAATCCTGGACCTGGAAGATCCCCTGGAGTAGGAAATGGCAACCCACTCCTGTATTCTTGTTGGGAAAATTCAGTAGGCAGAGAAGCCACCAAGAGTCGGACACAACTGAGCGACTGAGCTTGCACACATGCACGTGTGCGTGCACACACACACACAAAATGTGGTATACATATTCAAGTCCTTTTCATAGTAGTTACACACTTTCATTTCTCTTGAGTAAATACCTAGGACCAGACTTGCTAAGGCAGATATATTGAAGATGTATGACCTTTCCTGGTGGTTCAGTGGTTAAGAATCCACCTACCAATGCAAGGGACATGGGTTCCATCCCTAGTCAGGGAAGATCCTACATGCCTCAGAGCAATTAAGCCCGTGTGCCACAACTACTGAAGCCCACTTGAGCAGAGCCCTGCTCTGCAATGAGAAGCCTAGCACTACAGAGTAGCCCCCACTCACAGCAACTAGAGAAAGCCCGTGCTCAGCAATGAAGACCCAGTGCAGCCAAAAATGAAAGTTTTGTTTTTTTAAAAAAAAGGAAAAAAATAAAAAAAGATACTGCCAGATACTTGTCCCCAGTGGTTGTAACATTTTCTAGTCCCACCAGTGATGGAAGAGATGTGGTTACTCCACATGCAACTGCATTCTTTTTTTTGTTTTGCTGAATTTTAAAAATTGTCCTTAAGGATTATATAACACTGGAAAAGGAAACGGCAACTCACTCTAGTATTCTCTGGAAATCCCATAGACAGAGGAGCTTGGTCTAGGCTACAGTCCATGGGGTTGCAGAGTCGGGCACAACTGAGCACACACACAATTACATAAAATGTTATCATTTTAACCACTCTGTAACTGTATAGCTCTGTGGTATTAAGTATTTTACAACCAATCACTACATTCTTAAGCAATATGCTTTATTCTGCATTACTTTTCCCTGGGTCTTATCTTTTCCCCATATTTTCTGTTCCTTGTTTTTAATTTACATTTATTTTACAGTATTCTCACAAGGCACTTCAAAGTCTTTGTCATACGAGGCAGAGTGCACATGTAACATGTATGATGGTGCCACCATAAAAAACAGCTAGGATTTAGTAATCAATGGTTGTTATTTCTTGTTTAGTCGCTAAGTCATGTCCTGCTCTTTTGCAACTCCATGGATTATACGGGATTTCCCAGGCAAGAATATGGGAATTGGTTGCCATTTCCTATTCCAGGGGATATTCCTGACCCAGGGATTGAACCTAAGTCTCCTGCATTGGCGGGAAGATTCTTTACCACTCAGTCACCAGGGAAGTCCAATGGCAGGAAAGGATGATTCCAATTCTTAATAAAGATTAAAATGTGAGAACCTATGTCAGTGTTTTGGAAAGTATTACAGAATGTACTTTCATGCCAGTAGCTGATTTATCAGGGTTTTCTGTCTCTAAGAACAATAAGAAAGTACCTGTTTACCAAACAGCCAAAGTCTAGGCTGCACTTCATATTTCCCATCATTTTTCAATTAACTGATGCTTTAGCAAGCTGCTTTAGTACTCGGCACAGAGTAGATACTCACTGAACAGTCTTTTTTTTTTTTTGGCTATGTGAAAGTATTCTTCACATTTTTGTTTTGTGTAGGTATTAACTGTCTCATTCCCCTATTAGAATGTAGTCAACTCCAGGAGAGGAGGGACTGTTTCTGGCTTATTTCAGTCATGTGCCCAGGAAATTTAGAACAGTAGCACATAGGTAGTGTTTCACGTGAGAGTTAAGGGTACATGAACTTCGAGAACACAGCTGAATTAGAGTCCTGGCTTCTCATTTAAAAGCTGTGTAAATTTAAGACCGCTATTAAGCTTCTCTAGTAACAGTACTTAGCTCAGAGGTTTTTGTGATTTTAAAGTGCTTATTACCTAGCAGATCATAATCTATTTATATTTACCAAACATATAACATATGCCAGACATTGTAGTAAACCTTGACCGTGAATTAATGGCACTTAATCCTCACCAGGACTCTCTGAGGTAGGCGCTTTCATTATGTCTATTTTTACAGTCAAGAGGGAGAGATTAAGTCACTTGCTCAAAGTCACACACAGCAGACAAGAGCTTTCAAATCCGACAAGAGCTTTCAAATCCAGACTGGGTCTAGTCAGCTGTACGCCCCCAAATGTTAACATCATTATGAGAACTATTACTAGGGGTCAGAAGCCCTGACCCTCCGCGATGTTACCCTTCTGAATGACACGCAGAGCGATCCATAAAGTAGAACCGAGAAGACTGAAATAAGAGGACAAACCCAGTGAGGCGGTTTCGGATAATTTTGACGCTCATCACTGTCTCCCCCATGGTAGCAAAGGCTCTGGAGATGAAGTTCTCATCCATGTAGGGCTCCAGCTGCGTAAACACAAGAGCAGAGCGGGTTGGGCCAGCATCCAGACTCCTCGTTTCCCGGATCCGGAGCCCTTCCCCCTCAGCCCGGGGTGGGCTGCACGCTGCTGGCGGGCGGGAGTGGGGTTGGGGGGGGGGGGGGGAAGAGGTTTCCATGCGCAGAATGATCTGAACCCCTGCGTTCCCGGTCCCTCGCCTTCTTTCCCTTTAAATGTGCTCCTTTGTAGAAGCCGCCCCCGCACTGGGAAGGAATCCATCCCTCTAGTCCAGAACCAGGGGCGCTCCTGCACCTTTAGGATTCCTCCCATTCTATCCGCCCCCCAACCCTCCTTTTCGCTTCCGTGAACCCAGGCGGGGCCCCTAAGACTCCTCGCCCTCCGAGTCAGCCCCCTTCACCTACACGCTGGGACTCACTTGGGTGTCACCTAAGAGAACTGCCCTTCTCAAGCACTTCCACCTTTTGAGGATCCGAGGAAGACCCTTCCCTTCAGTCTCGGCCCCAACCACCCCCCACCCCGGCACCTAAATACTGGGACTCGCGCCGGCGTCGCCTAAAAGAACTCCCCTCCCCATTCACGTCCACCCTTTTAGGGATTCGAGGACCCTCCCCCCTCGGCCCCTTTCTTCCTCGCGACGCTAAGATTCCTGCACCACAGACCCGTGAGGCCGCCCTCACTCACGTCGCCCATCCACAGGCTGGCCGCCATGCCGCGGCCCCGCCGGGACTCAGGGGCCCCCGGGCTGGCGCAGACGCTGGGTACGCCGGGCCGGGACCTTCACGGAGCATGCGCCTCGGCCGCCTTCTGCGCATGCTCCGCAGGTCGGTGCCCAGGGCCGCGCCCGCGCGCCGCTCCGGGTCTTTCCGGCTCCCTGCGAGCGGGTCCAAGACTGGAGCCCGCGGGAGGGGGCGGGGCAGAGCCCGCCCAGCGCCGGGCTGTGGGTGGAGCGGGTGACTGGCTTTCTCGGGTTTCTATTTAAACACACACATACAGATAAATTCCAGAATTTTACGTTCCTTGTTAAAAAAAAAAAAAAAATTGCAAATGTAGGCATTTTTTTTTTTCAAGTGAAAGATGTCCTTTGGGAGTCTGGACGATTCAGTTCCACTCACTTAGGCAAATTACTGACTGGTCCGCTCCAGCCACCTCTTCACACTGTATTTCCCAGTTTGCAAGAGATTTCTGTTCACTACTGCGATGGGATTCTCCATCATTCCCTGGGGAGCAGGGAGGGCAGAATTATAGCGAGTGTAAATTGGGGCAACTATGTCATCTAAAACGAATCAGTCCCCAAGTCTTGTCACTTTCTGGCGTCCCACATCTCCTACACTAATCCAAACCGCCAGGCCTAATCTGTCCCAAAACAGTGACCTGCCACACAAGGCACTCAGTAAACACGGTTTCTAGATAATCCTGACAATTTGACTTCTAATCTGGGAGAGTCCCAAGCCTTCACCTCAGTTTACTACCCATTCCCCAGAATGTGAAACTTCTATGAGAATTGTCATCTCCAACAGTGAAAGTCATTCCAAGTGCTTGAGGATCCATTTCTGAGGCTCCTTCTGGGCTGATGGCCACTTCAGCCCTTCCTTGACAGTATATACATCCCAAATTTGGGGTGTTTGGCCCAAAAGTCAAGCACTGGTGGATCCAGTCTTTTTTTTTTTTCATTTATTTTTATTAGTTGGAGGCTAATTACTTTACAATATTGTAGTGGTTTTTGTCATACATTGTGGATCCAGTCTTAGATCCAACCACAAGCTGCCAAATTTCCAGTTTTATTCTATTCACTTCCTCAGTAGTATAGTGTTTAGGTGCTCTGACTATAGATTTGAACAAATTGAGCCCTCCTCACTATTTTGGGTAATAGTAACACTTGGTTTCCCGACTGGTTCAGTGGTAAAGAATCCATCTGCCAACGCAGGAGACAGAGGTTCCATCCCCACACGGAGATAATCCCCTGGAGAAGGAAACAGCAACCCTCTCCAGTGATCTTGCCTGGGAAATCCCATGGAAGGAGGAACCTGGCGGGCTACAGTCCACAGGGTTGAAGAGTCAAACTCAGGTTAGCAACTAACCAACAAATAGTAGTGTTTACCTCATGCCATGTTTTGTTTGGCCAAGCAGTGTGACATGTGGGATCTCAATTTCCAGACCAGGGATCAAACCCATGCCCCCTGCACTGGAACTGTCTTCACCACTCGCCCTCCAGCAGAGTCCCAAACGATGTTTGTTTTGAGGACAAAATGAGAAGTTGGAAAAACATTTGGCCTAGTGCCTGGCTTCTAACAAGTGCTCCAGCGTAGCAGTTGGAGGCCTTTGAATTATAACTGATAAATATTTACCACTATCTGCCAACCCCTCTGCTTTTTGCGTACTATTTTTAAATTTTATTTTACATGTGGAAGATTTTTACATACTTAATTTAGAATGTAAGTTTTATCAGATAGGATTCCTTGTTTGCTGTTTCTAATCAAATTCCCACAAGAATGTCGGGGATGTGTTAGACATTTTTGTCAGCAAAGTAATGTCTTTGCTTTTTAATATGCTGTCTAGGTTGGTCATAGCTTTTCTTCCAAGGAGCAAGTGTCTTTTAATTTCACTGACAAAGGTCTGTATAGTCAAAGCTCTGGTTTTTCCAGTAGTCATGTATGGATGTGAGAGTTGGGCCATAAAGAAGGCTAAGTGCCAAAGAATCGATGTTTTTGAACTGTGTTGAACAGGACTCTCGAGAGTCCTTTGGACTGCAAGATCAAACTAGTCAGTCTAAATGAAATCAGTCCTGAATATCCACTGCAAGGACTCATGCACCTGATGTGAAGAACTGACTCATTGGAAAAGACCCTGATGCTAGGAAAGGTTGAAGGCAGAAGGGGACGACAGAGAATGAGATGGTTGCATGGCATCACCGACTCGATGGAGATGAGTTTGAGCAAGCTCCAGAGGTTGGTAATAGACAGGGAAACCTGGTGTGCTGCGGTCTATGGGGCTGCAGAGTCAGATATGACTGAGAGACTGAACCGAGACACTGGAAAAAAAAACTGATTTTATGTCAAACAATAAACAGCCATCCCTTACCCCACCTATTCCTTATCCCAACTCCCAGTCCCTTGAGGCAACCACTTCCAAACCTTTTCTCTAAAATATGCGTATTTCTAAATAATATACTTTAAAAGATAATTTTATTTAACTTTTGACTGTCTGGCTCTTTGTTGCTGTGCTGGCTTTCCTCTAGTTGTGGGGAGTGGAGGCGGCTACGCTGTGGTTGGAGCGCACAGGCTCCTCACTGTGGTAGCTCCTCCTGTTTGTGGAGCGCAGGCGCTAGGTCAACGAGGGCTTCAGGAGCTGGGGCCACAGGACTCTAGAGCACAGGCTCCATAGTTCTGGCGGGGGCTTAGTTGCTCTGCAGTATGTGGGCTCTTCCAGCATCAGGGATCAAACCGGTGTCTCCCGCATTGGCAGGCAGGTTCTTTACCACTGAGCCACCAGGGAAGCCCTCAATAATATAATTTCTATTCATTTGTAGTTTCAGATATTTTAGGGATGTCCCCTCAGACATACACACCTTTCCGTCTTCTGATTATAATTTGTTAAACCATTGAACAGCTACATTATTATGACTGTAAATAGTATTTACAGCTGAGCCATATGTGGTGATTACATTTGTTTTGGGGTAACCAATCCAGGTTGGAGGAGGATAGGGAAAAGGTAAAACTTAAGAGTACTTGACATGTTTGAACGCAAAAAAACGAGATTTACACTTCCGATAGACTCTGACACTGAATTATTGCACAATACTTATAGCAAAAAAGTAAGCATGTGAAAAACAAGGCAATTATGAACCACGGGGAATTCTGAAATGTGCAACGGTTGTTAATAGCAAAGGCTTGCGGAGACTCTACTTTGTACCTGATACCTTTCTAATATACGCAAAGCACCTACAAAGAGCGATATGACTGTTACATATAATACAAATCAGCGCTTCCCTGATAGCTCAGTTGGTAAAGAATCCACCTGCAATGCAGGAGACGCCAGCTCAATTCCTGGGTTGGGAAGATCCGATGGAGAAGGGAGAGGCTACCCACTCCATATTCCTGGGCTTCCCTCATGGCTCAGCTGGTGAAGAATCCGCCTGCAGTGTGGGAGACCTGGGTTCGATCCCTGGGTTGGGAAGATCTCCTGGAGAAGGGAAAGGCTACCCACTCCAGTATTCTGGCCTGGAGAATTCCATAGACTGTATAACCTATGGGATCCCAAAGAACTGGACACGACTGAGTGACTTTCACTACAATACAAGGAAAAGAAAGGCAGCTTGATCTGAAGTTAGTCACTTGAACTCCCAGGGACATTTTCCTGAGGGACAGCAATTCCAACTTCACAAGGCTGATGTGAGGATGAAATGAGCTATTACTGTATGCAAAGTGCTCAGTATAGTGCCTGGCCCATTTAAGTCCCAATTCACAAGAGTTGTTTTCAAGGAGAGGGTACTTTCAATCGGCTGTATGTCAAAAGGGAAAGCTTCAATAAATCTAATCAAAATGAACTTTTTTGGGGGGGGTGGGGGAAGGAAGAGCAGACACACAGTGCCTCTTTACAATGAAAATATTAAAGTCGAAAGTTGTGATTTTTTTTCCCTTCTAACAAGTCAATTTCTAATCAGGACAGGACCTGCATTGAAACTAAAAGTTCGAGGAAAAAAACAATCACAGAATACATTTTAAGTTATTTTACATCATATTCATTTTTCCAAGAGTAGCTGACATCAAGAATCCTCCTGCTGCTAATAAAACTTCCCTGCTGTACAAATATAGATCCCCCATATTAGCACTGTCCACTGTAACTTTCTGCAATTATAAAAATGTTCTATAAATTTCTGAATTTGCATAGCCCCCAAACCATAGGCACTAGCTACTTTTGACTACTGAGGACTTGCAATGTGCCTAGTAAAATTGAGGAAGTTCATTTTACATTTTTACAAATTTAAATTAAATCTAAATAGCCGCAAGTAGCTATTGACCACCATACTGGACAGGTCAGCTCCACGTGATTTGGTTGCTCAAATGCCCATGAAAATCTACATCATTATGCGTAAGTTGTTATTGTGCAGTTAATGTTTAATCAGTTACACTAGCTTTTGAAATGATACATCGTTAAACTTAGTGTAAGTATCTCTAGAGGTGTATTGTACTCAAAAATCTTGGTTTCAAATTAGGATATTAAAAGGTCCATCCCATGTCTCACATACTGTACAATATAATTTTTTAAAAACTCAGTGATTCTTGAAACATAAATACCTAACAAAAACCAATCAACTCTTTTTGATTTGTCTAGAACAGCCACTGTTCCATACAAAAAACAAAAACAAAACAACAACAAAAAATGAACAGCTGGCACATACCAGGACTTCTTGACATCACTGAAGTCCTAGTCTTCCCCAGGTCTACAGGCATGGGATCATTTTGCCCTTCCCAACACAGCAGGTGCTCCCGTTTAAAAAAGCAGGGAGTTCGTAGAAAATAAGTGGCCTGTTTTATAAAACTCTAAATTTATTCAAAGTGTTAAAAGATTTCACTCTCCCCTCCAAAATACTTTACATTTAAAAAAAAAGAAAATCAAAACCCTTTCCTGTTTTTTCAGCCACTGTACAAGCTGCTGTTTCCCTTTCTGGGGACCAGCCTCTACCCCTCCAACCCTCTTCCCCTTCCCTCCCTTCACTCTCAATATTGCTGTAGGTTTGTTTATAAAGCCCTCTTTCCCCTCTCCCTGCAAGTCTTGCCCTACAGGCACAGCTACCTTTCCAGATTTCAGGCCCTTGGCTGCAGGTGAGGCAGGCTGGATGAGGGAGACTGCAGACAAGGCCTAAAGGACAGAATGCTTTGTGCTTCTGGGAGAAAGGCTGATTGGCTTTTTTCTTGATCAAGCGGAGGAGCCTTGTTTTTGTTTTTGCCCCATGGGCACCTGTTCAGGGCCAAATATTTGGCTTGGGGTTGCCCGTGGCTGGGTAGCCCTGCCCCTTCTCCAGTTTCCCCCAGGCATAGGTCCATGACAGCTGGGTCTGACTGTACCACGTGTCCGCCTGTGGGTCGGGAAGGACGGGAAGAGTGGCAGAGGACTAGAGCAGGGCTCGATGGAGCCCGACTTCTCAGCGTATATGGGCACCCAACACGCAGGGGAGGAAGTTTTGGTTTTGGAGAAGCAAACCCAGGGTCAGCCAGGACCATGGGAAGTAGGGATGAGGGGGAAGGTCTGACCGCATGGCTGTGGGGTGAGCAACGTTCCTTCTGATAAAAACCCCTCTTCTCTCTTCCATCTATCCCACCCTCATCCTGTAGGTCCCAGGATGATTCCAGAAAAGAGGGGGGCACAAAGGGGAGAAGGGTTCTGTTCTGATGAGGAAGTCAGGAGGTGACAGAGTACTTGGGGCTGGGAGAGGCCTGCTGGAGCACGCAGTCGTCACAGCTTCCCCGTTCCAAGAGGGAAGTTGGAGGGTGGCCGGGAACCAGGCCCTCAGAGGCTTCACCAGCTCTGTTCCTTGTCCTTGACTAGTAAGACTGTGTGCTGGCCCCCGCTGGACACAGTTAAGACCACACGGTTCTCCAGCTGTTTGCCTGTCATCTCCACGGGGCTCCAGGCATCTTCATCCTGTCCCGTGCCCAGCTGGTAGTTGGTGCCCATGCCCCAGGCAAAAACACGACCTACAGGGGAGAGAAACAGGGGCAGCTGTCTCGAGGATCCCCATCCCCAGCTTTCTGCAGGGTGAGAAGCCTGGGACATGAGGGTGCCTTCTGGGGTTGGCCTGAGGCAGCCTGGCAATGTCCCAGCCTCAGAGAAGCTGGGAGGAGGCAAGGAGATGATGGACAAAAAAGAGCTTTGTCAACCAGAGACCACAGCTGTTATGCATCGACAGAGACTTCTCTCTACTCCCAGGCAGAGCGTTCAAGGCCTGACAATGACTGGTCATTCCCCAAACCCTTACATCACCTCCATTCCCTGAACCACCTGCCTTTGAGACTATTCTGGACGTTTTCCTTTTCTCACCATTAAGGACTAAACCTTCAAGGTGCAGTAAAAGCCCCACTTCCTCAGGAACTCTTTCCAGATAGTCCCGGATCAAGCACCTCTGCCAGCCTGCTTTCTCAAGGCCTCCAAGTCTGTTCCCCTAGGCTTTGGCGACCACTTGTCCACGCCCTCCTCTGCTGTGCTTGCCAGGACCCCAACTACTAAGCTTTCTTTCTCCTAATGATATTGTAAGTACAACTCCCTGTGAAGCCGGCAGTTACTAGGTTGTATATAAAAAGGGTCACCAAGGTATAAAATGTGAAGGCATGCCTGTGTTAGGAGTCTGGAGACCTGGGTTCCAGTCCTTCTGCCTGTTCTTGCCTGTGTGTTCAGCTGTATCTGACTCTTCCTGACTCCATGGACTGTGACCTGCCAGGCTCCTCTGTCCATGGATTTTCCAGGCAAGAATACTGGAGTGTATTGCCATTTCCTCCTCCAAGGGATCTTCCCCACCCAGGGATCGAACCCACGACTCCTGTATCTCCTGCGTTGGCAGGTAGAATCTTCACCACTGAGCCACCTGGGAAGCCTTGCCTATCTGGGCCTCAATAATTAATATATCCCCTTGGCTACAACACATTAAAATAATTTTAATAATGTGTTTACCCACTTTGTCATCGAAGCCAGAGCTTCTAACAATCAAGACAAGAATAACATCATCACAAATACTGCTCTCCACATCTCAGTTCCATCGAATGGTGGGCAACGGAGCCTGCTAGGCACTGTGGTAAGAATCATGACCCCCAGACCCCAACCAGACTGACTGTGGGCAGTCCCACTCACCATCCTTGGTCACAGCATACCCCACAGAGGCTCCACAAGCCACTGAGGAGACCGTGGGCAGCCTGGAGATGAGGGTGGGTACGCTCTTCTCCTCAGCACCTTCCCCAAGGCCCAGCCGCCCATACTCAGCCCGGCCCAGGCTGTATGCTTTTCCTGTGGGAGGCGGGAGAGGGATGAAGAATAGGAGGGCATGCTCCAGGTAGGCCAGGTGAGCACCGACATCCATGGGAATGGGTCCCTCAATCCCAGGTGGTGAAGAGATCTGCAGTGTCTCTTTCAGTGTGGAGGGAGGCCTGGGAGAACCTCCACATGTCCCCACTGAACTCCCAGGTGGAAGACTCACCAGGATGCTGGCGAGTGGGGTGACCCTCATGGACCCACAATTAGCCCAATCCATGGAGCAGGCCCAGGTTCCAAGCACCGCTGTTTACGGAGTGGGGCCAGGCCTGTGCCCAGGGAACACTCCACCCCCACCCCAGAGATGGATCGAGACCCCCCTACCTTCTGAATCCATGCAGACTGTATGGTGCTGGCCCCCAGAGAAGCCCACCCAGGACTTGGTGGAGTTCTTGAAGGATGTTAGGTTCTGAGGTATAAAACAAGATTCTGTGCCTTGGGTTCCTAGGGAGGAAAGGCCAGGATGGGGGTGTCAGGGGTGACACTGTCCAAGGAATTGCCTTTTTCATCCCCTTCCTCATCACATCCGCTCATCACAACTAGAAAAAGCCACAGTGCAGCAACGAAGACCCAGCACAACCAAACATAAATAAATAAATATTAAAAACAACAACAACTGAGGCTCTGAGAGGTTAGGTGACCCTCACACGGAGGGGGCACAATGAATGAGTGGTGGAGGCAGGACTGCAACCCAAGTCACTCTGGACTACGCTGGATGATAGGCTTGGGACTCACCAAGTTGATGGTAGTTGGAGAGGCCAAAGCCATATACGTGGCCCTCAGAGGAGATGGCGAAGGTGAAGTAGGCACCGCAGAAGGCATCCTGGAATCTGACATGGCCCCGGCTTCCCCTGGATTTCAGCATCACACACTTGGGAACCAGGAGTCGTTCTGCAGGCAGAGAGGTCAGGGTCAGCGGCACACACATGGCCTCTCCTCTCTGCCCCATTGTGTCTCCTTCACTGCTGAAGCCCTTGCAAGGAGCCCAAGCAAGGACTCTTCTCCGTAGAATACAGAAGAGGAAACTGAGGCCAACAGAGGCCAGGTGCCTCATTCAGACTCCCACAGCCAGAGAGGTAACATTTACATGGAACTTACTGTGTGTCAGACAGCCTTCTATATGAACTCAGTTCACCCACTGAGGCAGGTAGTTTAGAGATGAGGAAACTGTGTCTGGGGGCCCACGGCCAGTAAGGGGTAGAGCCAAGATTCAACTCTGAGGTAGTCTGGGGATTCCTTAACTATCACTGCAGGTCCACCTGATGCAAGCCTGAACACAAGAAAATCCCTTCTGCCTTTGACCTTCAGCAGGGGGTGGCTTGCCAACTTGCCCCACCAGAGGTACCTAAGCTACCTACTGTTAGGGAAATTAAAATGGAGGTAGTCTTGTTCAGGCTTCAGAAGTAGGGAGCAGGCCTCTGACCGACATCTGACCTTGCCTGGACCCTGCTTGGACTACATGCCTACTTGTGAACACACCAACTGTCACCAGTAAGTCAAGTGGCACTTAAGAAAGGGAGCGGGTCCAGGAATTTCTTAAGCCCCTGGAGGTCTGGCCAACGCCCTGAGGTCAGATGAAATCTTATGACGCACAGGTGAAACCAACAGTATTTTGTTTGTGTGTGATGAGTGGTTTCTTTTGTTAATGAATCCTTTGAACTTAAACTGAAACTAAATCAGCAAAACACCTACCAAAGGGCTTCCCTGGTGGCTCAGTGGTAAAGAATCTGCCTGCCAGTGCAGGAAGCTTGGGTTCAATCCCTGATCCCAGAAGATCCCACATGCAGTAAGCTCATGAGCCACAACTACTGAGCCTGTGCTCTAGAGCTTGGGAACCACAACTGAGCCCATGAGCTATGACTACTGAAGCCTGCGTGCCCTTGAGCCTGTGCTCCACAACAAGAGAAGCCACTGTAATGAGAAGCTGAGTGCCATGACTAGAGAGTAGCCCCCGCTTGTCACACCAGAGAAAAGCACATGCAGCAATGAAGACCTAGCACAGACAAAAATAAATTAAAAACAAACAAACACCTACCAAGGCCCTGACGGCCACCACGATTGGCAAATAATTCAGGTACGCGGCCCAGTTGGCCCTGCTCCCCGGAGCCCAAAGTATAGAGGTCGCCATCAACTGTCAGCATCACCAAGTGGTCATTTCCTGAGGGTGAGAAGAAAGCAGGGGATGCCGGGCTTGGCTGTAAGGCCCAAGGCTGGGCCAGACCCAGAAGAAGGTTCTCCAACTCCTGCCCAGAGCGAGAACCCAAACTCACCTGAGGCCACCTTCACCACGGGCACACTCAGCTGCACCTGCACAGGCACCATGCTCTTTTTCATGGGCTCCAAGAGCCCGATCACACCGTTATTGTCCTGGAAGGAAGGGCGGTCAGTTTTCAGCCAGCCCTGCCTGTCTCATACCAGCCAGATCCAGCTTTGCAGGCACCCCCAGAGCTGTGTGGGGAAGGGCACTGGTGCCAGCTGAGGATGGACAGGGGGGCAGGAGCTAGGCCACATAGTGAAATACTCATGAGTGAAATCATATGTGGTCTGTGATTTGCATTAAAATATCACAAAGGAGTTGGGGAATGGAAGGTAGTGAAAATCAAACAAGTTTGGTCATAAGCTGATAATTGTTCAGGCAAGTAAATAAGAGTTCAAAATAGCATTCTGATTACTCTTACATGTTTGAAATTCTCCATTAAAAAGTGTTAAAAGAGTTCCAACGAGGAAATATCAGATTCCTTTATTTCTGACATTTCAAAATAAATTGAATAACAAAGTTCCAAAACAATTTTAATGCTGAATCTGCTGTTTAAACCACACTCTCCTGTCTTGAAAATTCTGAGATATGCCTCTGAGAAGTGTGGAAGGAGACTGGGAAGGGGAGGGGGGAGGTTAAAAGGGAGGAGATGGGTCAGCAGGTTTCTTGGCTCAGCCAAAGACCAAAGGTATCCCTGACCCACCCCTTTTCCGTGACACAACATCATAACATCAGATTCATAGGAACAGTCAGTAGTGTGCACAGGCCTGGATGAAGAACCAGAAACCTGGGTCTGGGTCCAAGCTCTTCCCAGGGTCTCAATCTCTCCACAAGTACAACAAGGGCATGGAGATGGGGCCCCACCAGCTATATTTAATTCTGCTTACCAGCTCCACAGCCATCCTCCAGACCTAGTCTTACCCGGAAGGAGCCCCAGAGGAAGACACGGCCATCCTCGGTGAGGGCTGCTGTGTGACTGTCTCCTGCTGACACCTGTACCACCTTCTCTTGCAGGTCCACTTTCCCAGGGATCATCTCTGAGCCCTCCACTGACGTATCCCTTCCCAGAGCACCCTCGTCATTGCAGCCGAAGGAGTAGACCTGTGCAGAGGATGCCCCTGTTAGTGCGAGGTCTGGCCTCTCAGTATCTTCATGTCTAGGCCACACCCTGCTTATCTAGCCAGCTCCATCTCTACAGAGTAATGCATATGGTTCAGAGCTCCTTCCCCAGGCCCCCCAGTCCCAGGTCCTGTCCCATCTGGCGCCACCCTGACCTACCTGGCCACTTTTGCTTAGGCACACAGTGTGCATGCCCCCAGCCTCAGCCTGCACGATGTCTTCTGGAATGGACACTAGGGCTGGCTTCTTCCTCTCCATCACATTCTCGCCCAGCCCCAGCTGGCCCACGTCGCCCTGGCCCAGCGTCAGCACCATACCTGGTTCTGTGCCGTGGGACCTATGGGAGACTGAGGGGTAAAGAAGATAGCCCCTAAGTGTGCAGGATGACAAGAGAGAGGAGAGGCTGCTGCACAGGCTGTGGGATAACACAGACCTGGGTTCAAATCTGTGCCCTGCCACAGAACACTGGTCAGACTTCTCCAAGTCTAAGCGTCCTCATCTGTGAAACGAGGGTAAGAAAAGTACCTATGTCATAGAATGTTTGTGAAGATTAAAAACTGAGCACATTAGAGACTTCCCTGGCGGTCCAGTGGTTAAGACCCTTCCAATAGAGGGGTGCGTATGTTCAATCCCTGGTGGGGGAACTAAGATCCAACATGCCTCATGTTGGATGAGGCCAAAAAACCAAAACACAAAACAAGCAATACTGAAACAAATTCAATGAAGACTTTAAAATATGACTCACATAAAATAAACTTTAATTTTAAATTAAAAATAAAAAAACCCCAGCCCATTTTTTTTGAAATCTGTATTTAATTATTTGGCTGTGCTCGGTCCCAGTGCAACATGCAGGGTCCTTAGTTGTGGCCTGTGGGATCGAGTTCCCTGATGAGGAATGGAACCCTGGCTTCCTGCACTGGGAGCACAGAGTCTTAGCCACTAGACTACCAGGAAAGTGCCCACCTAAGCACATGATTAATGTGAATGGAAGGAAATGGCAATAATGTACTTGATACAGAGAAAAAAATCCAGGTGGGGAGGGGAAGCGCGGCACAAGATAGCTTTTCTGATTGTCTGTTCTTGGTCAGGAACCAACTAACAGAGAGGGCATAATAACATCTAACATTGCTTACTCTACGAATGTTAAATTGATTTGCAGCCCCACACATTACGCTATAGGCCTTCCATTTCAGGCTCCCATTTTATACAAAAGGAGAACAGAGCCTCAGAGAGTGTCATAAGAGCTAATAACGAGTAGAGTTTGCAGTGAAACCAAACCGAGGAGGCCTACATGGTCAGAGCACAGTCCTTAGTCTCCATCCTCAGGCTGTGACTTAACCACTGGACATAGGCACACTGACCCCCACTCCACTTCCACTGGGGAGCAGACTTGCAGCTGAAGAGGAAAGGGAGGAGTAAGAGACCATACAAGCATTTGCGAAGAGGTACGCGCCTATCAGCGTGCGGCGCTGGGCCATCAGCTGGCCAATGGGGGGCGGGGCCACCAGCACCCCGGACAGCCAATGGCGTCCAGCCTCTCCCCCTGGGGGTGTGGCCACGGCTGCCAGGTCGGCTGCAGCTGCGCAGAGGGCGCTCTGGGCAGGCAGCCACCTGGTCGGGCCTTCTGGTCACAAGGGCACAGCCCGCAGGCACCTTGGCAGGAGCGGGCGCCTGGAACACGGCGGGAGGCAACGGCCCTCACTGCCTGGTTACGAGGGTCTGCAAAAGACAGACACTGTCTGAGTGTGGGTCCACACTCCCCCCACCCTCCCAGACTTGGGGTGGCTCTGCTCCCTGACTCCCTCCAGGGTCCCCGCAGAGAGGAGACCAAAGGCACGTCTGTCTCTCGAATGCTAACCAGGACACGAGCTCATTTTCCTCATGGCAGCCCGGTGAGGTTGCCCGTTTATGAATGGGGTATTCTAAGTTCAGTGAGGTTAGTGATTTGCCACAGCTATACAGCTAGAAAGTGGCAGAGCCAGGAGTGAAGCCAGTCTGGAGGTCAATGCTCTTAACTAGGCATTACTGCCTAGGGCAAAGCCTTAGGGTCTAATTTTTCACTGAGGGCTTTTAAGCAAGTCTCTGCCCTTTTATCATTCCCAGAGGGTGGGAATCAGTGAGCTACAGGAGACCCTCATGGTGGGTGGAGTTCCTGGACTTTCTGGCCCCTTGGCTTCAAATCTCAGGGAGGAAGGAGCCCAGTACCAGATTCTGGGGATGCCAAGAGGCCACCCATACTAAGGGCCAACTTACCCTTCACCTTCTTGCTTTTGGGGAGGGCATCTTCTGGGGGAGACCTTCTCTTAGCTATACGCTTGGGTGGCATCTTCTTGTCCTGAAAAACCCAGGCAAAGATTCCATGTCAGAAATGGCACTATTCAGGCAATATTTATCAAAAACCCTTAAAAAAGTGAAAAGAAATGCCTAGCAATTCCACTTCTCGGAATTTACCTGAGAAGAACCAAATAATAAATAAACCAAATATTAAATTCTACTAATATTCTCTACTGTATTCTTCGTAACATTAAAAAAACAAAAACAACAAAAAATGGAACAACCCATGTACTTAGGAGTAGGGGATTGGCTAAATATGTGGCATACTGATGATAAAACAGTATGAAGCCATTAAAAGTGATGTTTTCAGAGATTTATTTACTGAATCACTGCCAAGTAACATAAGCAGACTGAAAAACAGGCCATCATCCTACTTGTGGCAAAGAAAAAGCATACACATATAAAAATATGTGGAAGGAAATACATTCAATATTAATAATGGTAACCTCTGGAAAGTGAAATTATGGACAACTTTTACTTTTTTCTTTATATCTTAATCTAAGATACAAACACCATGACATGTATTTTTAAATTTTATTATTAAAAAATTAAAACACTGAAGAACTATCAATGAACATCACAACTCCACCCAACCCCAACATAACCACTAGTAAGTCTGGTGATACATTACTGTTATAATCAGACCACACAAACACACACTCACAGCTATATTTTCATTAAATAAAACCAAACCAGACGACTTTCTCAACCGCAGTCCAGTTGTTAGGAACCTACCTGCCAATGCAGGGGACAGAGGTTTGATCCCTGGTCCGGGAAGACTCCACATGCTGTGGCAACTAAGCCCATGCACCACAACTACTCTGCCTGCATGCCCAAGAGCCCACGCTCACGAGAAACCACTGCAATAAGAAGCCCAGGCACCGCAACAGAGTAGCCCAGACTCACTGCAACTAGAGAAAGCACATAGGCAGTAATGAAAACCCAGCATAGCCAAAATTCAAATAAATTTAAAAAAAAAAACCATCTGTGTCCTTTGATCCAAAATGCCACCACTCCTAGGAGGAACCTGGCTTTCCTTTAAACCCATCCAACAAGAGAAAAACACTGTATATACACTCACACTAACATACAAACACCTGGTGTTACAAAAGGGAGAAAGGAAATCACCTCTGGGTGACATGAAGGGTTGTGGCAGCTCGCAGGATCCAGGGCAGCTGAGCCGTCAGTGCTGACTGCCTCCTTGCTTCAACGAACTGCTGATGCCTTCTCAAGGCTGCTGAGAACAGACACTCTGCCCTACTGTCTCAATTTCAACCCAGCCCAAATTGGGTCAAAAGCCCTTTTTCCTCTACATAAGCAGTTTCTGAAAGAAATCCTTATTGAGCCCTGGTTTTTAAGGTTATGAAAGACGGCTGTCTAAGCCTTAAGGCTCCCAAACTCTGTGATCCGTCTGAAATCGATAGCAGGGCCCAGGCAATTTGCAGCTATCCAGATGCAAAAGCGGTAGAGCAAGTGGTGGTTAAGAGGAGCCAGGCTATCTATGTACTCAGCTACTTTCTGGCTGTTTTGACCTTGGACAAAGTTACTTAGTCTCTTCACCATTTAGTTTCCTCCTCATCGCTTCTCGGCCTCTTGGCTAAGATCAAGTGTAGTTTCCTCCTCAGTAAAATGGGGATAGTAATTACTCAAAATCACTGTGGATGGTGAGTGCTGCCATGAAATGAAAGGCCCTGATGCTGGAAAAGATTGAAGGCAAAAGGAGAAGGGGGCAGGAGAGGATGAGATGGTTAGATAGCATCACTGACTCAGTTTAGTTCAGTTGTTCAGTTGTGTCCATCTCTTTGCAACACCATGGACTGCAGCACGCCAGGCTTCCCTGTCCATCACCAACTCCTGGAGCTTACTCAAACTCATGTCCATCGAGTCAGTGATGCCACCCAACCAACCATCTCATCCTCTGTCGTCCCCTTCTCCTCCCACCTACAATCTTCCCCAGCATCAGGGTCTTTTCAAATGAGTCAGCTCTTCACATCAGGTGGCCAAAGTATTGGACAACATCAACATCTTCAACATCAGTCCTCCCAATGAATATTCAGGACTGATTTCTTTTAGGATGGACTGGCTGGATCTCCTTGCAGTCCAAGGGACTCTCAAGAGTCTTCTCCAACACCACAGTTCAAAAGCATCAATTCTTCAGTGCTCAGCTTTCTTTATAGTCCAACTCTCACATCCATACATGACTACTGGAAAAACCATAGCCTTGACTAGATGGACCTTTGTTGGCAAAGTAATGTCTCTGCTTTTTAATATGCTGTCTAGGTTAGTCATAACTTTTCTTCCAAGGAGTAAATGTCTTTTAACTTCATGGCTGCAGTCACCATCTGCAGTGATTTTGGAGCTCCCAAAATAAAGTCTGCCACTGTTTCCACATCTATTTGCCATGAAGTGATGGGACCAGATGCCATGATCTTAGTTTTCTGAATGCTGAGCTTTAAGCCAACATTTCCACTCTTCTCTTTCACTTTCATCAAGAGGCTCTTTAGTTCTTCTTCGCTTTCTGCCGTAGGGGTGGTGTCACTGACTCAATGGACATGAATTTCAGCAAACTCCGAGAGACAGTGGAGGACAGAGGAGCCGGGTGTGCTGCAGTCCATGGGGCTGCAAAGAGACATGACTGAGCAACTGAACAACAATAGTACCTACACCTTGTTATGACTATGACTAAATGAGCTAATACTGTAAAAGTAATTACAGGGTGGTTCGATCTCTGGGTCGGGAAGATCAACTGGAGGAGGGCATGGCAACCCACTACAGTATTCTTGCCTGGAGAATCCCATGGACAAAGGAGCCTGGCGGGCTACAGTCCATAGGGTCGCAAAGAATCAGACATGACTGAAGCAACTTAGCATGCACACATACAATTACAGGGTAGGGTAGGGGCTCAATAATCAATGCCTGTGTTTAAACATCTAGAGTCTGTTCCAGGTGATGCTTAGGCACAGCTAATCTAATCTAACTACCTCTCCTCCATTTTATAGAAAAGGGATGGAGACTTTAACCAAGGCAATAAATAGCAAGAGAAATCTAACAACCCTTCTTAGGCTCTACTGTGGGCCTAAATAGCACCTCATCCTTCCTTCCTTCCTTCCAGTAGGTCCTAGAGCCTCAGCCTCTCCAGCTCCCTGTTCCACGGTGTATGAACAGGAGGTCAACAGCCTGGAACCTCCAGGCACATTTCTGCTGGCTACCCTGGGGGAGGACAACACAGTGCCGAAGACAAGGAAGTAGCCAAATGCCTGGAATGCCCCAAGGCTGTGTGGGCTGAGCCTCTGCAGGTTGAGCTTCTGCAGGCTGAGACTGGCCCAGTTTTGACTTTGTTGAGGTGGCAGTTCTGTGTTTCACGCAACTTTCATTCTCCGAGGGCGGCACTCCTCGCCTCCAACCGGCCTCTTTGAGACCTGTCTTCCCACACTAGAAATGCACCTTCACTGGGATCAGTTCAGTTTGCAGTCATGTCCAACTCTTTGCAACCCCATGGACTGCAGCACGCCAGGCTTCCCTGTTCATTATCAACTCCCAGAACTTACTCAAACTCATGTCTATTGAGTCAGTGATGCCATCTAACCATCTCATCCTCTGTCGTCCCCTTCTCCTGCCTCAATCTTTCCCAGCATCAGGGTCTTTTCCAGTGAGTCAGTTCTTCGCATCAGGGACAGAGCTGTGGTCTGCTCAACCCTGCTTGTGCGACCATGTTTGACCTCTCTGGCAGTTCTAGCTTCTGTGAACTGTGTGTATCCTCATGTAAGAGGGATGCAATGACCACTTCGAGGGCTGCTGTCCAGACGGAATGAAATGTCTGTAAAGGGTTTTGCAGTGCAGCATGGACTCAATCTTTCCATGAATGCTTGTTACCACTGCTTGGCTTTGGGCCAGCGGTAGCAAGGAAAAAGGCAACTAACCCTCTTCCTGCTCTCATGGAGCTTACAGACAGAAACACATACACACACAGAGAGAGTATGATTACATTCAGTGTGGTGTGATGAATAGGCAAGGTGATATAGTAGGAATATTCCAGGGACACAACAATGTAAATGTATTAAATGCCACTGAACCATGTACAGTTAAAAATGGCTACAATGATTAAGTTTTATGTTAAGTATAGTTTATCACAATAAAAAAAAAAAGAGAGTAACTGGGATAGGGGAGGAGATATAGGTCAGATAGGTGACATCTGGGCTAAGACTTGAAATACTAGGCAGAGAAAGCCAGCAGGGGAAGGCCTGGACAAAAGCATGTTATGTGCTCAGGAACCTGGGGAGGCCAGCAGGGCTGTAGCTGGACAGTGATGGATCAGAGGCACAAGGGGAGCAGGGAACAGGTTGTACAAGACCTAGTAGGGAAAACAGACAAGCATTAAGAAGACTGTCTCATTAACAATTGTTCTGGAAGGGACTGGAAGAGGAGGTGATTGCAGACATCCAAATGAGAGAAGTTGGTGACATGATTTGGTCTGAGGCAACAAAGAAAAGTACACAATTTAGGAGACAGGCTTGCTTTGCCAGTGGATTGGATGTAGGAATGAGGGTGGGGGAGGAACTCAGAATGACTTTTTCCTCCTAAAATATCCAGGAGATCCTGGGCAGGGCCCCCTTGATCCCCCTATGAACTTGGCCCAACACAAGGACTCCCAGGCATTGGCTTAAGTTACTAGGTAGATGGTAGACTTCAGTTACTGAGAAGACTCGGGGACAGACTGACAGGAGGGACCGGGAGGCCCGCCTCGCCAGGCATTTTTGTCAAGTGTGAAGTGTGCGGGAGCTGACAGAGAAGGGATGTTAAGGTGGCAGAGCTGGATGGGTTAAGGAGTGTGGGATACACCAGGGACCCACTCTTTCCAGTAAACAGCTCCTAACCCTTGGCCAGGTTGGCCGCGGTTCACTGGTTCTGGGGCCCTGTTCCACCAAAGGCATATTTCCCGGTCAACTCATCAGAATGACCTGCAGCTGTCAGCTCTGCTGGGGAGGGAGACTGAGAAGGAGCTTGGAAGAGTACTCACAAGAAGTTAAGTGAAAAAACAAAACAAAACAGGAGACAGAATGGTATCAGCACATCAGTGCTGCTGTTGGGTTGACCTATGGGAAAGGCCTGGCGTGGAGACAGAAAAACAAAGGTTATAGGAGGTATTCGGTGTCATGGATCATTAACCAAAACAAAAACAAAAACATGTTATTCTGCTAGACACTCATGATCTTTTTAAAAAGACCTCCAGGGTCTGGTACTGACACAACTTCCGACCTCACCTTATCTGTCACACCCTCCCTTCTCATAATCTTAGACTGCTTACTCTTCTCTCCATACCAAGTGCATCTCCATCCCACTCCAGCCCTATCCTACTGCAAGAACTTCTACTCAAAGTTGCCTCCATTGGTACGCTACCTCAGATCCCTCTCTCAATCCTAAAGGAATCATTCTCTCTGAGAAATTAGGACAGACTTTGGATCATAATCATTTAACCAATCTGCTTCTTCAGATGAGTCTCTCTGGGGCACTGGCCACACCTACCTTCTAACAACCTTGAACTTCTTGCAACAAGCTGAAGAGGGCTCTGTCACTCTTATTTAACAGCTGAGGGAAGTGGGGCGCAGAGAAGTAGATTTACTTGTTTAAGCTGGCACAGCCGGAAAAGAAAGCCAGGAATGGAATCCAGGCATATCTGATAACTAAAAGCAAAAGAACAGTTGGCTAAAGGCAGGTCATGATCCAGGCAGTGATCGAGGCAGCCTGGACAGGGCTCCCCAGGATTCCCTATGAACCTGGCCAAAGGCAAGGAGCAGAGGGTGGGAGCCTGCTGAAAGTGAGAAGATGGTGAGTGAGAGCAAAGGGGAGACACGGAAGCAGTGAGGGCCTGGGAGAGTGGGGCAAGTGGGCGGCAGATCTGCTGAATCACGCGTGGAAGGACCGACCACAAGCACAGCTCCACGCCGCAGTGCAGAGCACGCTGGCTCTCAAGTCCAGCCCACTGAGCCCCCTCTGAACTCGAGAGTCTTCGTCTCTCAAAGGGAGGACTCCAGGCACTGCAGTGTCTATAAGCAATCCCAGAGGCAATGCAGGGGATGAGGGGGCACCTTCTAAAAGGTGGAGCCCTGTACCCATGACCCACATGCATGTTTTCTACTGCACAAATCAGTCCTTTGGACAGACTTCCTCTCTAACCACTCTGGGTGTATTTTATTTATTTATTTATTTTATTTTTCTTAGTTCCTTGACCAGGGATTAAACCTGTGCCCTCTACAATGGAAATGTGGCGTCTTAACCACCAGACCACCAGGGAAGTCCCTGGGTGTGTTTTCCTAACTAGACATCGAGAGTCTGGGCTGGGTATAAGTCCTAGTCTTGTCCCCACCCCTCACTCCCCTACAAACACAGCTTCCATCTTCAAGGAGTTCAGTCTGGAAGAAGCGTATGATACAATCTCAATAAGTCAGATACAGAGTCAACTTCCACTAACAGACTCCTAAGGTGAAGAACTGATGCTTTCGAATTATGGTGCTGAAGAAGACCCTCGAGAGTCCTGTGGACTACAAGGAGATCAAACCAGTCAATCCTAAAGGAGATCAACCCTGAATATTCATTGGAAGGACTGATGCTGAAGCTGAAGCTCCAATACTTTGGGCACCCAATGCAAAGAGCCGGCTCACTGGAAAAGACTCTGATGTTGGGAAAGATTGAAGGCAGGAGGAGAAGAGGGCAGCAGAGGATGAGATGGTTAGATAGCAACACGGACTCAATGGAAATGAATGTGAGCAAACTGGGAGATGGCGGAGGACAGAGGAGCCTGGCGTGCTGCAATCCATGGGGTTACAGAGTCGGACATGACTTAGGGACTGAACAACGTGTGCCAGTCAATCCTGGAATACTCACACTCTGCCCTCAGAGGTGTGATCATCCTGGCTTTACAGACATGAAAGTGAAGGCTCAGGGGATGACAGCCCAGGTCTGCCGACCACTCCCCACCAGGACCAGAGCATCCCCCATCCCCTCTTCTCCCTGGGCCTGTTTCTTCATTTGGTAGACTAGACAGTCTACCGGGGCCCTTGTGTTCCTGCTGTGACCCCCTGTGACCTCATCTCTGCAAAGGGAAACGGCGCTCTCTCCAACCACAGCAGCTGTCCCCACCCAGTCACCCCAATGTCAGGAGGCAGACACTTGCCAGACGCAAGGGCTGAAGAATCTCTTTGTGAGGAAAGTCCCCTGGGAGGGAAGGGAGGAGCGAGGTTCTGTTTGTCTGTCAACAAACACTGGGGGAGCAACTCCTTCCTGCCTGATGTCAGGCACAGAGCTGGCAGACCTCACCCAAGAGATCATTACCAGGATCCCCCTTCAATACAGAGGGGGTGGTGGTGGTTTAAGTTGCTGAGTCGTGTCCGACTCTTGGTGATCCCATGGACTGTAGCCTGCCAGACTCCTCCGTCCATGGGATTTTCCAGGCAAGAATACTGGAGTGGGCTGCCATTTCCTTCTCTAGGGGATCTTGCCCATCCAGGGATCAAACCTGGGTCTCCTCCATCACAGGCAGATTCTTAACCAACGGAGCTACCACGGAAGCCCAAAAATACAGAGGGGAGCCTAGGCTTAAGTGCATTCATTTATTCCAGCAGAATGAGGCTACACCTTACCCCAGGTGTTAGAACCACAGCTTTACAGGATACTAGTAACTCTTTATCTTCATCTTACAGGTAAGGACAAGGCCCAGGGGGATTAGGTGGATGGCCCAGGGATAGCCAACTAGGAAGTTGCAAAGCTGAACAGGATTCCTGCTCTTGGGATGGCTTCCCAACAAGAGCATGGAGAACTCCTAGTTTACCTTTCCAGACTCCACTCTGATGTCCTTCTTGGGTAAAACCGTCGCTGCCTTCTCCGCCCCAGCCAGCACCAGCACTCCAGACTCCCGGAGACCCAGCCCCTGCTCAATCATCTTGCTCTTCCTCTCCCGGTACCCTGTGCGCCAGTCAGACTTAAACACCGTGGTACCTCTGATGACAACACTCACACACGCCTTCCTGCGTTTGCACGTGCTGTGTTCCCTGCCTGGACCACCAGAAACCCTCCACCCTCGGTCCGCCTGAATAACTCCTCTGTTCCTTCAAAACCCTGGCCAAGTCACCTGGGCTGGAAAGCCATCCCTCATCCTCCTGCCCAGGCTTGGGTGAACGTCCGAGTTCCCCATCCACACTCCCTACACTCGACTTCTGCTATAGGCACTCAAGTAACACTTGGAGCACCTTGGTTAAGAACCGCCAGGAGCGGCGAGCGCTCCGGCTCCATGGGCACACCTTAGGGATCATCCTGGACAGTAATTGTGGCCCCACATGGGCCTCCCCAGGGGAGGCTGGGAGCTTGATCACGGCCACCCGGGGCCCTTTCACCATTTTCCCCAGCCCTGCACGCGTGGCACGGAGGAGACCGCCAGCGACTAAATCTGCTGACATATGCGTTGATGCGGAGTTCCCGGCACACCTCTGCCACCGGTCAACAGTCGTGGCGGTGCCTGTTGACGCTGAGATTTCGCTCCCTACGCAGACCCTCGGCAGCTTACCCTCGAGCTCCTCGAGCCGACCCTCGCCGGGCGGGATTCCCACCCCGCTCCGCAAACCGCATTCTCCAAACCAGTGCTGGACTTTTTAAAATCACTTTCCCGCTCCGGAAACGCCGCACCGCCGGGGCGCCCGCCCCGGCCCGGGAGGCGCGCGGCTCTACGCACCGCGGGCGCCGAGGTCACTGCGGCCGCGCGCAAAACCCCGGCCGGCCGCGCTCGGGCCGTTTGAATCTCCCGCCCCCGCTGGCGGCGCGGGCCGGGCGTGCGAGGCGCGGCGGCGAAGGGGCCGCGCGGCCCTCGCTCGGGCGAGGCGGGGCCCGGGCGGGCGGGCTGGCTCCAGGGCGCCCCGCGGGGCCGCAGACCGGCTCGCCCGCACCCGCGCCTCCCAGCCGCGCTGGCTTCACGTGGGGCCGGCACCGCGCCACACGGACGCGCGCGGGCAACGGCCCCGGCCGGTCGCCGCCAGCCGACGCCCCCGGGCTGTGCCCGCCCCGCGCGCCGCCCTCCGTCCCGACCCTCCGTGCGTGACTAGCGCGACCTACCTCGCTGCAGGTCCGCCACAAGGAACTCCTCCGCTCGCCGGCCCGGCCGCGAACTGCCCCAGAGCATGCGCTCTGCGGGCCTCCGGCCCCGACCCCGGGCCAGAAAAGAAAACAAAGAGCCTGGCGCCCCCTGGCGGCCGCCCCGGGAGGTGCCGGTGGCGCGATCCGGCTAAGGCGCTCGCCACCAGGCTCTTTCCGCCCTGGCCCAGGGTTACAGAGCGGGTGTGTGTTTTGAAGACCCTGAACTGAAACGAGTGGACTGACAACCAGAAAGACTGCTTGAAATCAGGGTTTGTCTGGGAAAAAATATGGTATGGGAGGGACGGCACGGATAAAAGAGACACTGGCCGTCCCTGCTCTCAAGGGGCTTTCCGTCAAAGACGAGAAGTTCATGGACTGCCGACCGCCGCTCAGGGCCGCGGCCAGGGCTGTCGTGACAGGGGTGCGCGCAGGGCTGTCCAGCTCAGCTGGGACCCAAGGAAGGCTGTCCGGGGTAAGCCCAAGAGGGCAGGGCATCCTAGGAGAAGCGTCCTTGCGAGGACAGGGAGCGACGAGAGCCTCTGCTGGGCTGGGGAAACTGCCCGAGTCTGACTGGGGCAGAGGGTGCCATGGAGGGACTTGGCAGTTTTGTCTAAGGAGACCGCCTCTATCCTGGGGAAATGGGGAACTCTGGAAGGGGTCTGAGCACTTGAGTGACGGGAGCAGGTTTTTGTTTTGGAACAAAATGGAAAACGGGCTTGGGCAGAGGGGAAACCAAGAGTGAGGCAGGGAGGCCAGATAAGAAAGAGGAGGGTGTGAACTGAGGTTGCGAACTAGTGATGGAAAACAGGCCAAGCTGCCTACCCTTCTCTTGTTAACATGCTCCTTCTTCAGGATGGATTCAAACAGTTCTTCAGGATTTCAAGTTCCCTGTGGTCACCTTTCAGGCCTTTTCACTGTGTCTGGGGGTTTCCCAGGTCAAAGGAGTGACCTCTGCAGAAGGATGTTTTCTCCATTTCATGTAGACTCTCGACTCTGAAAGTCATGCTATCATTCCTGAACTCTAGATGGACACTTTTGATGAGTGTTTGAAGTGAAAGTGTTAGTTGCTCAGTCCTGTCTGACTCTTTGTGACCCCATGAACTGTAGCCCACCAGGCTCCTCTGTCCCTGGGATTTCTCAGGCAAGAATACTGGAGTGGGTTGCCATTTCCTCCTCCAGGGGACCTTCCCAACCCAGGGATTGAACCCAGGTCTCCTACATTGCAGGCAGATGATTTAAAAAAAAATTTTTTTAGTACCATCTGAGCCACCAGGGAAGCTCCTGATGAGTATTTACCAGCTGAATTTCTTCCATACAGAGCCCACCCCAAAGCACTCCCCATTTTCAAGGTTTCTTACCTCCTCAAGTTTACTTCTGCCTCCATCACGGACTCCCTTTTTGGATGATATGCTGTGAAATTCCTCCAACTTTTAACCCTGGGATCTCTGTCTCTGTTGTCTTCCTCCAAGATCTTATTCATTCACATGGCTTGATGTAATTAGAAAAATAAGTATTATTACCTATTTTGTAAAACCTCTAACTTGAACTTCAGACACACATCCATCCATTAGTACATTTATTCTTCACAAAACTCTTGATAGTTGGACAATGAAAAAAATGCAGTTCAAAGAGGTTAAGCAAGTTGTCTGGGGTCATGATACAAGTGATAGAAGGAGTTCAGAAATCTTGTTCAGGGCTGAGCCACCACCTTTTAACTGAGATGACAGCCCATCTGGTCTGGTACTGATCTCTACGCTAGGTTTTAGTCTTATGGCTCTATGCAGAAGACTCAATACACCAAATGAAGACTCATTTTCCATGGATGAAGACTCCCCACCCTTACCCTTCATCCTTCAAGCCAAGGTTAGAAGTTTCTCATTCAAACTTCAACATCTTTCCTGGTTCTTCCCTCTCCTCTCCATGTTTTATTTCTGCCCCTCTGGTCTAAAGCAGCACCCTCCTGGCCTTCATTTCATTCCATCAAGATCCCCAAGTTAGTCTCCCTAAATCGTGACTATGAGACTTTGACTTGCTTAAAAATCTGTAAAGATTCACATATTTCTTTTTTTTTTAACTTTATTTTTTATTGGGATATAGCTGATTAACAATGTTTGACAGTTTCAGGTGAACAGTGAGGGGACTCAGCCATATGTATACATGTATCCATCCTCCCCCAAACTCCCCTCCCATCCAGTCTGCCACATAACACTGAGCAGAATTCTCTGTGCTATACCGTAGGACCTTGTTGGTTACCCATCTTAAATATAGCAGTGTGTGCATGTTCATCCCAGGCTCCCTAGCTATCCTTTCCCCCCATCCTTCTCCCCAGCATCCATAAGCTCATTTTCTAAGTCTGAAGACTTACATATTTCTTCAGTGCTGTGTTAGGAGCACCAAATGCCCCAAGCTGCTGTTTTCCCATCTCCCACTTGGCCTCTGCACTGTCCTCTCAACGTTCCCATGCTCATTCCTGCTTCCTTACCTTTCTCACCTTTCCTACCAGTGCTTTCTTTCCTGTCTAGCTGAATTCTTGATATATATATATATATGTATATTTGATTTTTACATATATATCAAATATATATATTTAAGGCTAAATTTTACTTGCCATCTCCATGAAGCCTTCTTTGGCCCCATTTATCTTATCTTCTTTGAACATAAATATTAATTTTTCACTCTATTATTGTTGCATTTTATTTACTGAACATAAACCATAGTAAGGAGGACAGTCAGTTGAATCTGACGTAGGAATGACACAGATGATAGAATTAGAAGTGAATGATATTAAAAGTTATTCTAACTGTATTCCATATGTCCAAAAGTTAAGTAGAGACATGGAAGATATAAAAAGATCCAAAGTGAACTTCTTGATAATATCTAAGATGACAAATATAGTGGATGGGATTAATAATAGATTAGATATTGGAAAAGCAGTGATTAGTGAACCTCATGCATAGCAAAACAAACTATCCAAAATGAAACATAGAAAAAATTTTTAAGTGAAAAGAATATGAGTGAACTATGGAATAACTTTAATAAGTGGCCTACTCCACAGGTAACTGGAGACCGTGAAAATAGGAGAACTGGGAATAAAAATATAGGAAGAGGGGACTTCCCTGGTGGTCCAGTGGCTGGAATTCCATGCTCCCAATGCAGGAGGCCAGGGTTCAATCCCTGGTCAGGAAACTAAGATCCCTCATGCCACAACTAAGACCCCGCGCAGCCAAATAAATTTAAAAAATGCTTTTTGTGTTTTAAAATATATGAAGAAATAATGGCTAAAAATGTTTGAACTATAAACCTATAAACTATAAGCCAACAGATGTGTGATAAAAAATAAAACGTGGTCTGGAGGCTTCCCTGGTGGTCCAGTGGTTAAGAATCCACCTTGCAATGCAAGGGATGGCGGTTCGATCCCTGGTCCGGGAAGATCCCACACGCAGTGGAGCAACTTAGCCTGCGTACCACAGCTACTGGGCCTGTGCTCTAGAGCCCGCGAACCCCGACTACTGAAGCCTATGTGCCCCAGAGCCTGTGCTCCACAACAAGGGAAGCCACCGCAATGAGAAGCCCTTGAGCTGCAGCAACAAGTAGCCCCCGCTCGCTGCAACTGGAAAAAGCCTGAGTGCAGCAATGAAGAGCCACCAGACAAAAATAATAAAAGAAAAAATAAAAATAAATGTGGTTTGAACACTCCAAATAAAAGAGATTGTCATAATAAATAGAAAAAGCAAGACCCAACCACACACTGCCTACAAGAAATAAACATTGAACATAAACAAACACAGCTGACCCTTGAACAACAGTTTTGAACTGCACAGGTCCAGTTATACTCAGATTTTTTTCAATAAATATGAACTATGTACTACAGTACCACACAAGCCGAGGTTGGTTATACCGGAAGTTGCAGAATCACAGATATGGAGGGCCAATACAGTCACACCCCTTTGTTGTTCAAGGGTCAACTCTACACAAATAGATTAAAAGTAAAAAGAAAAAGAGACTCTGGTAACACTAGTCAAAAGAAAGCTGGAGCAGCTATATTAATAGCAAAGTACATTTTAGAGCAGAGTATTCTAGAAATAAAGAAGGTCTTTTGAGTCAGTTGGTGTGAGGTGGATGAACCTAGAGTCTGTTACACAGAATGAAGTAAGTCAGAGAAAAACAAATATCATATATTAATGCATATATATGGAATCTGGAAAAGTGATACGGATAAACCTATTTGCAGGGCAGGAATAGAGCTGCAGACATAGAGAACAGACTTGTGTACACAGCCGGGGAGGGAGAGGGAGGAACTGAGAGGAGTGTTGAAACATACACATTGTTATTGTTTAGTTGCCAGGTCTTTTGCAACCCCATGGACTGTAGCCCGCCAGGCTCCTCTGTCCATGGGATTTCCCAGGCAAGATACTAGAGTGGGTTGCCATTTCCTCGTCCAGGGGATCTTCCCAACCCAGGGATCCAACCTGCATCTCTTGCTTCTCCTGCATTGGCAGGAGGATTCTTTATCATTTCCATTACCTGGGAATTACCATATGTAAAATAGATAGCTAGTGGGAAGTTGCTGTATAATACCGGGAGCTTAACCTGGTTCTCTGTGACAACTTAGAGGGGTGGGTTTGGGTGGGTGGGGCGTGAGAGGGAGGTTCAAGAGAGTGGGGACATGTGTATACTTATGGCTGATTCACGTTGTGTATGACAAACCAACTCAATGTTGTAAAGCAATTATCCTCCAATCAAAAATTTTAAAAAAGGTACTTTCACTATGGTAAAGGAGAAAATCAAAATGCACAATCCTAAATATATGCAACTAATAACAGAGGTCCCAAATACATATACAAAAACTGATAGAACTTCTAGAGGAAATAGACAAATCCACAAAGATAGGTGGACATTTCAATACCTTACTCTCAATATTACTGATAGGTAGGAAGAAAACCAGTCAGGATAGACTTGAACACC